AGCAAAAAGAAAAAGAATAGAAGAAATAAAAATTGCAATTGCATTTGGCGATAAAAAAAAGGAAGGAAAATATTACCCCCCCTAATCGGGAAAAGATGAGCTTGTCCGTGTTATGGAGTATATAACTATAACATATGTTATTGTGCTCAGCTTAGTGCTTTATAATCGGAATTTTATACCATACAATAGAGTACAGAGTACTCTGTATGTTGTATACTATATATGGAGTCATTGCACCGAGTCCCATTGGTCAAAGTCTTTACTTGAATCCTTCAGTGAATCCTGCAGGACATGTTAGAATAGACCGACGATTGTCCGTGCAAGTTACTGGAATAAGGTTAAATGATCATCTCTTCACTCAAAAATGAGAATAAATACAGGGATTCTAAGCGACGTCTAGAAAGATTGAGATGTATCTGAATATTTTTACTGTTTATACAAGTCGGAGGTTGGAGACTGAAAGGTTGGGTCGCCGAAACTCAAGTTGAAACTTAGATTTAGTGACTTACGCGGCTTAACCCCGAGGCTCTAATGAAATAATTTGAGATTTTCTAAAAAAGAACAATGACGGGAATTCCAGATACCGGCATGTGTCCATTTTCTTATCCTGTCATGCCCCCACGCAGATCCTCAATACTATACGGAATACCCCAAGCCATCCAGAGAGAGCTTGTCCATGGTACAGGTGTAAAAGAGTATCCATGGATTCACAAGCTTTCCCAAGGTTCCGGTGCGAAGTTTCCATTTTGGGGTCACCGATATCGGGATTTTCTATAATTGTGAGATACCACTGTAGCTGTGCCCTGGATAATCTCGCAAGGTTCTCTATAGGGCTCGGACTATGGAGATAGTAGGGGAACTCAAAATGGAACTATCTATGCGTTGCCGGCATGAACCATCCCTTACACTATTCATTCGCAATGGCCCACATATGCAAACCAACTACCCCACATAATTCCCAAGTCCGAGCCCGAGTCCAAGCACCAGAACCAGGGAAATTGTGATTGCGACATCTCGACATTTTCCGGGAAAGGTTCCATTATTGCGCCCCAGTGTTCCTCCATTCAGAGATCGAAGAACCAGGGCCAAGCCCGCCTCTCCAACGCCCTGGGCTAATCCCTTCCCAGCTTGGAGCATCGCCGTCCGTTGCCGATAAGATCGGCAGGCCTTGACGCAAGGTGCCGGGAGATCGGCTGGGTGTGATGGAACGATTCCCACGGTTCTACTCCGTACCTCTAGGGCTGTCTTTAGGATACCGTTAGCGCGCTACTGTGGCTACTATGTATCAGGAGGTGAGATGCTTTGTGGGATGGCGGTGGAAGTTGACATGTAATCAATGGATTTTAAATATTTAGTTGTGGGCATATTTCAAGGAGAAATCTCTATGTCTAAACTCCAATATATCCCTCGAGTGCGTACTCCGTACATATGTTTTGGATGATCCCAGAAAAACAAAAGCAGAGAAACAAAACCAAGGTGCAGAAGTAAATATGTACAGACAAAATAGAAACATAATACAGGACGGGGTATCAAGCCCTTGGAGACTTCATGGATTCGTAAAAAAGGAGACAAACAGAAAATAAGATCTCGATATATAACAAGACTCAATTAAACCTCCTCCCGAGCGCGGGTAATATGCGAAGAATTCGACTCATAATCCGACGGCCGTGAGTCACGCTGCACCGTCACGGTAATATCTTGACGAATGCGCAAAGCGCGGGCCGAGCCATCATCACTGCTCGCATCACGCTCCTCGCTGGGCGAGAAACTCATATTGGAAGCAGTCGCCTTTTGCGGGGTAATTGTAGTTGTGCCCTCAAATTCCTGCATGCCGAAGTCTCCTGATCGGGCATGGCTGGGCTGGCCATAGGGAGCCAGATTCGAGCCACCCTTGCTGGTCCAGGGCCCGGACCTGTAGCGGTCAGTACCGCGCTTGGAGCCCCCGGTCCAGCTCTTGAGGGCGGGGAAAACATCGCGGAGCAGTGACCAGATTAGTGGCAGGTTAGTGACCAGGATGGCGACAGTTGCTTCGCGGAAGTACCAGTTCATATAGACGTAGGAGATCAAAGATGGGACGAGGCAATACACCTTATTCAGGACGGCCGCGACGATGACGAAGATTCCCATGCCGAAGAGGACCACTAGGATCAGCTTCTGCTTGACAGGGACGCGGACTTGGACTAGCATCGGGATGGCGATAAGGAGCATGAATATGTCGGCAGAGATTGAGATGCAACCTTGTACGATTTCGTAGTATTGGTAGGATGAGCATTGGTAGTCTGGCGTGGGGAGGACGGCCCAATAGTCTGTTAATGGGCGGCACATCAGGAAGAGCGACAGTTCGGTTGCGACAAATCCCAGTGCAACATAAATGGCCAGGTAGTTGATCCATCGTTTCTGCTTCAATCCTTCACTGTTGGTTGTTAGCGAAAGGAACAAACTCCAAGTCGAGATTCAACATACGTGATACGCGCATAGATCACCAGCATGCATCCCTTCAAACTCCAGACGCAAAGAATAAAGGAATGTTCCGACACAAAGACCCATTTACTACCGCGCACTCGTTCTTTGATAATTTGATCTGTCAACGAGAGCTTGTCCTCTTCGGTCATGAGGTTTGACCCGCCACCGGAAGCAACTTGATTTAAAGCGACACACAGTATTGTATACCAAAGTACTGCGAATATCATAAGATAGTCATCGACCTGGAGATTGCGAACACCTAAACGCCGAAGACGAGCAGTGCTATCAAAGACCTTTGGTTAGTGGGAGTTCGTATATTGGACATTCAATTAATACTCACAATCGCAAGACAGCACCCAGTACTCCAACAGAATACAAAGCCCATGTTTCACGGGCGAATTGCACCGCGAAGTGACCTCCTAAACCAGACATTGCCCCTGGCCTGTTCAAATAAAGGTTAACAGGGATTCAAAGGAGAAACGAGATTTAAGAGGCGCACTCACATTTTATGAAACTAGACGGGATATGAGCTATGCATAGGGTTGCCAAGTTCCGATAGGGCCGTAAATATGCCGGTGATTACAACAGGGGCTTGAAATGTGTTAGAACCTTCAAAATTATGATAGATTCAAAGTATGGTAAGATGCAAATCAGAATAAAAAGCCACCTGCACTCAAAGATAGAGCTTAGAGAATACAACATAACGATTGGACGGTGGGGGATGTTTCCTTGGATGGGATTAGTTTGGGTAATTGATCTCATTACTGCATTCTAATTTGTATCGGTCAATTTGGTCCACTTTACCAAGCTTACAGTGAAATTTCCTCCAAGAGCCGGAAGTTTAGGTAGTCTTCAGCCTCCAATAAAAGTTTTCATAAAATTATAATAAACTAGAGTTATAATGAAGCTAGTACTACCTGCTTGATTAGGCAAGAGGATACAACATCGTATATGTAAACCTTTTATTATACCCAATCACCAAAGTAAAGCGCCACCTAAGCGTCTAAGATATACACATCTATCTTAAAGAGGCCCACTGCGGAGAAAGGTGAGGTGATCAAGAGATATTCCAAGGTTCAAGAAATTAGGTAAATCAATATCTAACCTTGGAAACTCAAGAGAAATCCAGGAATATAGAACCTTTGATTTTGAATCTCTATAGGAATGTACCAATTATTAGACTTTACTTACACAGGAGACCATCAATTCTGAGTTTGCCACTAATCTAGAAGTGTGAAGAGTGGGGGGCCATATCCATGGATGAGACACTGATTGACCCGAGCCTTTTTCTTGAGGGAATTTTGGAAAAAAGCGGATCTTTACTTGATACAGAGGTCTCCGTTCAGGGACCAGTCCTACATATGTAGGTAGTATGATATGTAACTGAATTGGATAGGGTTCAAAATATATATGCCTTCCAAGGTTCTCTTAAATCTAACTGGAACAAGATAATTATTAATATCTTATCAAAGGTTATTTGAGTGCTCGGTCTAGATCACTGTGCAGGATCTAAGGCTAAAACTGGAGTCGCCTCTATGCTCTCCACATTCAGCTGAACTATACTTCCGGACAATGTGCTGTCCCAAGTCTCGATTTTGATATGTACTCTGTACTCCGTACTCGGTATTTCGATGATGAACACTCAGTACCTCGGTAGATTGGGTACTTCATATTTTCCTTTTTTTTTGGCACTGGGCTTAAGTGGGTATAGAGCCCAATTTAAAGTTACCCCCAAGCCCTATGATATTGCTACATGCAACATACGACACACACCCCGGTCGCTTTAGCTTGACAAAAAAAGGATTCTGGATTCACATTTAGCCCACTTTTATATTCTACCTTGCCACTTACCAGGTACTGTGTGGCGCTTCTAGGCTTGTCTCACTTGGAATACGCTTTCAATTCAACAGGGGTAAATAAGGAGAATGTGTACGAAATTACTCCGTACGGAGTACGCTATAATGTGCACGAGAATACTCCGTATGGAGGTTTCAATTATATAATGTATCGCCCCTTAAAAGGAACACGCCATTTAGAGTATCAACGGCATTAAGAAGAGTCTGGGGTTAATTGACCCGCCAAACAGCCCTAAATCTCTTATCTCTCCAAAAAAGAAAGAGGTAGAGATGAAGAAAGGAGTAAAAAGAAACTAATACTTAAAGGGATGAAATTTCTGTTGAAGCTCCCCTTCTGGGCTAAGCGGCAAGGCACCTAAAGTTTCCCGAAGTACATTGTCGAGATGGCACCCTCCCCGGTTTCGCCCAATGGGAATCCCGGGGCAGCTCCACTATTAACCAGTTAGCCACCGAATGATGTTCCCCCGTGAGTGATGATTGGCTGGAGATTGAGAAAGTTGGGTGGGGCCGGGTTGAATTCAATCCATGACTTGATCGGCCCAGGATAATAATATACGTTAGACGCTGCTTTCCATTTTTCTTAACTTCATCTCAACTCTTCTCATTTCATTCTTTCTGCATTTTGGAATTCATCGAGGAGTATCCTTACCAGGTTTTAGGGATATTCCCATAATTTCGATCATGTCTGGGAGTGTTTATTCGCCGGAGAAGGAGGCCAGCTACGTCCCCGAAAAAGAAATCACATCTCCGGATTATACACACGATGGCCCAGTAGATGGAGAGTTGGTTAATGCATCAGGACATCGTCAGGAACTCCAGCGGAACTTTGGCCTTATCAGTATCTGTGCTGTGGCCGTGACCACTGGAAACACATGGATTGCCCAAGGTGGTAGTGTCGTTGTGGCTCTGACAAACGGTGGAATTGCAGGAACTATCTATGAATTGTACATCTCCCTTCCTACCAGTATCAAGGTACAGCTAACCCCTTTTCCTCTAGCATCGCTGTGTCTGTCTGCTATTGGTTAGTCGCCGCATCAATTGCCGAATTGGCATCGGGTATGCCCTCAGCTAGTGGTGTCTACCATTGGGCAACTATCACTGCGGGAAGCAAGTACGGTCGAGTGTGCGGATTCTACGCTGGATGGTGGAACTGTCTGGCTTGGATTCTCGGTGCTGCATCGATGTCTTTGATTCTAGCCCAGCAGACCGTGGCTATGTATGCGCTGATGCATCCCGGCTTCACACCGTCACGATGGAACGTTTTTGTCAGCTTCCTCCTCTGCACCTGGACTTGTTGCTGCATTGTGCTGTTCATGAACCGCTTCCTACCTTACATAGGAAACCTCGGCATGTTCTTCATTCTCGCGGGTGTGTTCGTTACCATCGTCGTGTGTGCTGTGATGCCTCATGTGAACGGCTCCGGATATGCCACTGACAAGCTCGTGTGGGAAACATGGGAGAATGGAACCGGCTATGCCCAGCAAGGGTTCGTCTTTGTAGCTGGAATGCTCAACGGTGCTTACAGTGTTGGAACTCCTGACTGCTCGTCCCACTTGGCTGAGGAGATCCCCAAGTCAGTGTTTTTTTCTTTTCCCATCTCCTCTATTATCAATGCTGACTTGAACTTACAGACCGAGCCGAAATATCCCTAAGGCTATCCTGGCCCAGATGGCTGTCGGTTTCGTCACCGGTATCTGCTATATGATCGCAATCTTCTATGCAATTAACGACCTCGACGCGGTGCGCGACCCGAGCACCTTCTTCCCCCTGGCTGAGATCTATCGCCAAGCCACTGGCTCCCACGCTGGAGCTCTGGGTCTCCTGGTTGTCGCTTTCCTACCTACCTTTATTACTGCCTGCGGCTGTTATATCACCGCCGGCCGTACCCTCTGGACCATTTCTCGGGACGGCGCAACTCCATTTGCCGGGTGGCTTGGGCGAATCAGCCTCAAGTTCAAGAACCCCTTCAACGCTACCCTGGCCTGCTGTGGTGTTATCACCGTCCTGGCATGCATCTACCTTGGTTCGACCACCGCCTTTAGCGCCTTTGTGGGGTGCTTCGTGCAATTGTCCAGTCTTTCGTATTTCATGGCCATCTTCCCTCACATTCTGACCCGTCGTTCGTCCTTCGTCCCTGGATACTTTTTCATGAACAACAAAATTGGCTACGTCGTCAACTCCCTAGCCTGTGCTTATATCATCGCCTTCGCCATTATCTTCTGTTTCCCTTACGCTCTACCTACTGATGCTGCGTCAATGAACTATGCCAGTCTGATGACCGGAGGTCTATCAATCTTCGTTACTATCTGGTGGTTCATCCACAAAGACTCATATGTGGGCCCGAAGCATGTCCCGTTGACCGACAAAGCCCTCGCCGATGATGCTCGGTAAATCTCATTTAGGGAAGATGTTGGGAGGTCAAGTCTGCGTATACCATTTTGCTTGATAGAGATTTTTCTTCGCTGCACGGCTATCAAAATGCCCCTTTTCATGATGCGACTTAACGTTATAGTTACACACCTTGTACATTTCCGTTGGTGTTGGGCTTTTTACGACTCTATACATAGCTCCGCCAAAATAATTCATGTCCATTTGCTTGAGCTTCCTTTTTTTGAATATGTATACTTTACATACTAGTATTGATAGTTAAATTTATAAACCAAGTGTTTCCTCATTCTAGAACGGTCCTTAACAAAAGTGATCTATTAAGCCACGTGACTACGCGTCCCGCGCCTGTGTCGCGTCCTCCTCCCCAACACAATCTTGATCAAGAGATAAAGACCAGCGCAGCTATGGTCTTCAAACCCTTCAAGTCTCCTTTAATTAGGAACCCTGCTGCAGTATCCACCGAAATTCCCGACGAACCCAGCCGTCCTACCAAAAAGCCGCGCCTCGAAGACGAACCAGCACCCAAGAATGTGCAATCGACACCAATAGCCAGTCGAAAACCACTCTTACAAGCTAGCAATAAAGGATCAGACGGTACATCGACCAAAGATGATATATCTGGCGAAAGATACTTCAATGTTCTCTGGTAGGTCCTCAGAACGCTGATCCCCCACTGGGCGAGTACCAATTACACCGAACTAGCTGACCCAGACAGGCGCAAACCAAGCGCAAAGAAGCACAAAACATGGGATGGAGATGGGATCCTCTCCACTCGCGGAGAATTCGTGTATCTACGAGACATTGCCGGGAAGGAGATGGGACGGAAGATGCACGAAGCCCGCCTCGAGCCGGGAACGACGCTTTCCATATCCGGCAAAGAGGTTGAAATAGACTCTGAGATGTCGCACAAGGAATACCTCTCCGGTAGAATGTTTCTGGAAGGCACGAAGGCAACGCCTACCTCCACGCCGGACCCGGTGCCTAAACCGAAGAAAGAAGTCCCCACCGCTCGAAAGAAGGGCGAAGTACGCAAGCCTACAGCTGCCGAGCGAACAGAGTCTCTCAAGCGCTCGCTGGCTCTAGTTACCAACCCCAATGCGAACCCTGGGAACGCACCGGCGGCGTTTGCCGCTTACAAGGCGCCGCTTCTTGTGAATACCGTTGTTCCCAAGGCTGCGGGGAAGGTTATTCCGCGTCATGACCCCAAAGCAGTTGGCGCGTTGGTTATGCCGCGGCCGAAGTCCGTACCGAAGGGGAGGCAGGTTGTGGATGTTGTTGTTGATCCTATCTTGACCAAGAACTTGCGGCCGCATCAGCGTGAAGGTGTGCAGTTCTTGTACGAGTGTGTGATGGGCATGCGGTCATTTAATGGCGAAGGTGCAATTCTCGCGGATGATATGGGACTCGGAAAGACTTTGCAGACTATTGCCCTGCTTTGGACTCTGCTGAAGCAGAATCCTGTCTTTGAAGCCCCCCCTGTTATCAAGAAGGCACTGATTGTGTGTCCTGTCACTCTTATCAATAACTGGAGGAAGGAGTTCCGCAAGTGGCTTGGCAATGAGCGCATTGGAGTTTTTGTCTTTGATGATAAGAGTAAGCGTCTTACAGATTTCACCAAGGGCCGGTCGTATAGTATCATGATTGTTGGATATGAGAAGCTCAGAACGGTCCAGGAAGCATTGGCGAATAGTTCTGGAGTCGATATCATTATCGCGGACGAAGGCCACAGACTCAAGACATTGCAGAACAAGAGTGGTCTAGCGATCCAGTCGCTCAGCGCCGTGAAGAGAGTCATTCTCTCCGGCACGCCAATCCAAAATGATCTGAGAGAATTCTTTGCAGCTGTGGACCTTGTTAATCCAGGGCTCCTGGGAAGTTTCAAGTCCTTCATTCGAGAATTCGAAACACCAATCGTTCGCAGCAGACAGCCAGAAGCAACGAGAAAGGAGATTGAGAAAGGAGAGTCCAGAGGCGAAGAGCTGCGAGAACTTACCTCCAAATTTATGCTCCGCCGAACAGCGGACATTTTGGCCAAATACCTCCCACCTAAGTCCGAATATGTTCTCTTCTGCAAACCAACTCGCCCTCAAGCCAACATCTACAAAGCAGTCCTTGCCTCCTCTGTCTTCCAAAGCGCAATGGGCAACGCCGAAAGCGCCCTGCAGCTAATAACGATCCTCAAAAAGCTCAGCAACAGCCCTTCTCTCCTAACAGCCAAAAACAACGACGACACCCCCAACGAAACAATGGCCGCCCTTATCGCCTCCATCCCTCAACCCCTCCACCGCCATCTATCCCCGTCCTCCAGCGCAAAAATCCGCGTCCTCGACCAACTTCTCGACACAATGCGCAGCAAAACAGACGAGAAAATAGTCCTCGTGTCAAACTACACCTCAACCCTCTCCCTCCTCGCAACTCTCCTTACCTCCCTAGGCCTCCCATACCTCCGCCTAGACGGTAGCACACCAGCCCAGAAACGGCAAGGCCTGGTAGACGACTTCAACCGCCTCCCGGCATCCTCCTGCTTTGCCTTTTTACTGTCTGCCAAAGCAGGCGGAACAGGCCTCAACCTGATTGGTGCAAGCCGTCTCGTCCTTTTTGATGTAGACTGGAATCCTGCCACGGATATCCAGGCCATGGCGCGCATTCACCGCGACGGCCAGAAACATCCTTGTCGCATCTACCGAATTCTTCTCAAGGGGAGTCTTGAGGAGAAGATCTGGCAGAGACAGGTTACCAAGCTTGGTCTTGCAGATAGCGTTATGCAGGAGAAGAGTAACGGTGGTGCGCAGTTTTCAGCTGCTGAGCTGAGGGATTTGTTCAAGCTTGACGAGGACAGGGCTTGTCAGACCCATGAGTTGTTGGGATGTCGGTGCGGTGGACGAGGCGTTCAAGCTGATCCCGAGGGTTCTTCGTCTGGCACCGTGACGCCTGCTACTGTCGATGGTGAGGGTGGATCTGAAGTTGACGATTTGTCGGATCCTCCTTCTGACCTTGATGAGGATGTTGATTATGACTCGGATGAATCTCTACCGAAACCTCATACTCTTGTCAAGGCTTCTGAGGTCGATATGGAGAAACAAGAGCAGGCTATCCGTGACGGTACTTACCGTGCTAAAATAGCCGGAAAGGGGAAGAAGGGTACAAAAGCGAAGGAAGGCGAGCCTAGAAGCAAGAAAGATACGATGCATCAGTCTTTGGCTCAGTACGCGCATGTTGACCCAACTCTGCTTGCGGTCAAGTCTGATTCTAATGCCGGGGCTGGACCTGAAGATCTGGAGCTTGAAGCTGCCATTGATGATGATGTGTTGGTTTCTATGCTGAAAGATGAGTGTAACTTGATTGGGTACGTTTTCAAGAAAACCAACGGGGCGGAAATGAGGACTTAGACTTCTCTGTATCCAGGGCTGAAATGGCCTTTGAGACCAATGATGTATTGTTCATTTACTTGGGCTATACTATATATACATAGAATGATATACTAGAAGCAAACATAACATGTAGAGCTAAATGTATGAAGTATTATCATTCAAAAGGAAAAGCTCAATACCGAGGAGGTGGATTGCTATAAGAAAGAAAATAGGGATATTTTGTATTATTTCACTGCCAGGATATCATTGGGCCAAGTCTAAATGTACAAAAGAAAAGAGCTGATAATGACTGAGGATCTCGAAGAGAAAAATAATAAGGAAAAGAGAAGTAAAAAGAGAAAAAAAAACCAAGAATACACCCCCATACCTTGTTCACAAGCCCAATCACAAACCCAACATCAACTCATCACATCACTTATCAATACCTGAGTTTACCAACAAGCCCAAACGTGTAAGCCGCCTCGGCCTCACTCTTCATTTGAATCATAAATATTTTGCCAGAGCCAGTAGCAACACCACCCTTCTGAGCAATGGACGCGTCTTCATCCTCCTCGCGGATGGAGACTGCAATACCTGTGCGAGCGATGCGCTCAAAGGCATTTTCACCTAGACAGACATCAAGGAGAGTCTCGCCACGTGTCTTGCCGCGGATGACGATACGTTTCTCGACCGAGATGCCGCCACGCGGGGAGGCGGGGCCTGATGTGGGAGGTGAAGTGCCGCTTGCATTGTCGGCGTTATCACCATGCGGCGAGCTGCTGTCACTGCGGCCGCTGACGCCAGTACCGGGGCGGGAGGGGTTTTTGGGTGGTGCGGGCATGATGGTCATACGGGCGGCGCCCATGTCGCGCCACTTGGAGGCGGATTCACGTGCGTACAGGCGGACCTTGGCGTTTGAGAGACCGATGCCGTCGGCGCCTTTGACTGCTGCGGCAATTCGGCCTATGCCGGAGTTAGGGGATGGGTCGTTGCCGGAATCACCGGAGCCAGAGTAGATGCTGCCTTCGCGACCGGTGCGGGATTCGATGGTTGAGCGGGAAATGTTGAACATTTTGCTGCTTGTGCCAAAGCGTTTGAGGGCGGAGAACGCGCTACTCATTGTTCCCACGCTGCTTTCGGAACCTTCGGCCACAGAGCGTGGGGAGCTCGATGCGCGATAGCTCTTTCTGCGGCGAGGCCAGCCAAACAGGCCCCCGCCGGATTTCGGGACAGGTTCAAAGGTAGAGGCATGGCCGTTGAACGGGCCGCGGGCGTTTTGGAGCGCGATATATGTTGGGTTGTTGATTCTTGATTGGTTGATTAAGCCGTATAGGGTGTCGCATTCATCGGGGTTGCCTGACCGGAACATGATGTTGTTGCTGGAGGTGATCTTGGATCGCTCCGTGGGAGGAGAGCGAATGCTAATATCGATGGCGGTGCCACGGCGAATAGGAACCAGTGGTGTTAATTCGAGAGATATGAGCGGTCTTGATGATTGGGAATCGGAGTTTGGATCAGCTTCAGAGCCCACCGGGAAGGCCTCAATCAGGCCAGGACTAACAACGATGCTACATTCGTCAGGAAGCAAAGGTTCCCAGCTGCCTTTATCAGACCAGGCAAAGACAGACGCAACGGCCTTGTTAGTCTTGGTAGGCTGCAGCGGGACAGCACGGTAGCCACTCTGCGACACAGAGTTAGAAGGTGAGAGAGAACTGGCATCGGAGATCACGTCGGGTGCTTTTGGCTTGGGAGTAACATATTCTTCGTCTTCAGATACTGAGGAGTAATCATCCTCCGAATCAGAATAGCCGCCGGATCGTGAGTATTCAGATGATGAGTAGGAATAGTGGCGCACTGTTGACGCGTCTGAGTCGGTCTCTGAGTAATCTGAAGCTGTAGAAGGTTCATATTCGTGCTTTAGGGGAGAAGAGCCACGTCGCTTGAGCCCACCACTACTGGAAGCAAGAACTGGAGTAGTGGAGCGCTTGCCATTGGCCGGGCTCGGTGAGCGATGAGGTGGGGGAGGAGGAGGGCTATCATCATCCTTTGGCCGTCTCCGAGACTTCTTTCTCCTATGTCTTGTTGGTGTCTCCGGGATTTCTTGCTTGGGCAAGCATTCAAGTGGAGGATAGTCTTCCTCATCTTCGGGGCCGATGCTTGTCGGAGTAGAGAGGTGAGTTTGGCTGCTAGGAGTTCGGATTTTGGGAATCAATGGGAGAGTTGCTGAGGGCACAGATGAAACCCTGGGAGATTCGGGCTCGGGTTCCCTCACAGGCGTCTTCTGGGGTTGAGGAATCCTTGAGCGCGACTTTTCTCTCGGCGACGCTCTTGTTGGGGTTTCTTCTATTTCACCATAGAATCTACGCCCCGTTGGTGTACTTGGAGTTTGAGGCGAGGCAGCCGCAGGCCCGTTGTATTCGGGTTCTTTATCAGATACAACATTTTGATGAGAAGTAGCTTCCGAAGCCGGGCTGTCACCATAGCGAGAAAGTCTCTTGGCCTTGGATCGTTTGAGGCCGGTGGCAGACTTTTCCGGGCTAGTTGGCGAGTTCTTAGGAACCGTCGAAGGAAGAAGAGGTAGATCAGGGCGAGCGGGCTTTGCGGATAGCTCGGATCCTCCACTGGTGTAGTCAGTCTCCCGAGTGACGATTGAGGCCAACGAACTCCGGGCATCAGTGACAGAGCTGACCGTACTTGGATCAGACGAATGCTCTTTGGGGGTCCACGAGCGTCGTTTACCGGTGGCCTTCTCGCCGATGGGGATATCGATGTCATTAGGGTGTGGCCTAGGCGGAGAGCCAACGGCAGAGGGCTTGTGAGCCTTGTTCTGCTTGGCTCGGCTGATGAAGCTCTGGCTTCGACAAATTGATGGCGGAATAGGGTCGGACCCGAGCAATGAGATCCATTCAGACCCGACTTCTTCCTCGTCAATACGGAGGGAGATCAATTCCTGCCAGTACTTTTCTTCTCCGGGACTGCTACGCAGCATGACTATGATCTCGTGCTTCGATTCTCCCCTGCGGGCCGAAACACATCTTAGGTCCATGGGAGGAAAGAGAAGCCAGCGATCTGAATGATCAATTTCGCAAATCAAAAGATCACCTCCCGGCCCTTTGCTCGGAGTGTTATCTCGATACAGAAGCTCAGCTCGACAATCCACAAGTTGTCCACTTGAGTGATACAACGATAGATTGAAGAAATCGCGGGCACGGACATGGCGAGTCTGATCAATGCCAATCCCACGGAGGACGCCCAAGGTCATCGGGTCTCTTGTGCGTGTTGGGTCAATACTGGCAGCAGAGTCATCTTCCAATCTCGCTCTTTCATCCCGGACGCGTTTTCGGGCATCGATAACAAGACTTTGATAGGCGGCAGCGGTTTCTTCAGCCTTTGGGGATGGCTCCAACGTATTGATACCCTTGAAACTCTTCGCTAGGTACTTGAGACGTACTAACGGCCGCTTCAGCAGATAGGCCACATCGACCTTTTCCCCGTTGCTGTCCACGATGTCGCCATTTTCGTCTCGCTCCAAGCCTTCATCTAGGCTCTTCGTGTCAGCATCGTTCGTGACTTCATCTTCTTCCAGAGGAGCTAGGTTCACAATGACGTCTTTGAATCCAAGGCGCCATGCCTTCAAGTACTCTCGGTAAACTCTCTGGGCACCCTGTGCCCACGTAAGCAATGCATCCGCGTTGTCTTGCGGGATTCGCTTGTGTAGAGTCTTGAGGCGCTCGATCGCCACTCCCATGTTAACAATTGGCTTTGAGAAGTTCAAGTCGTCTTGAGGGTCCAAAGACGGCCGGAAGAGCCCCGCGGCAATGGCCGAATCAGAGCGGGACAGCACGCAAGTCAAGAGGACCGGAATCACTCCTCCGACCAGTGTTTTCAACTCGCGCATATACTTCGTCTCGTCACCCGAAAGCTCATGGAGCAAATCGTCAACTGTCGCGTGGGCCAGGCGACTTTTATTGGTGCGAATACTCCGATTCGACCGGGTACTTCTGCGCGAAGTTGAAACAGATAGGACAGACATAAGGTCATTGTGAGTGGTAAGCCGCCTTTTTAGTTGTGAGGATACCACAGGTAGCGATTCTGGGTCGAACTGGTCATTCTTTTCTGCCTCTTCTGCCTCTTCTGCTTCCACAAGGTTTGATTTAGGCGTTTCAGCTGAGACAGGCTTCGGTACGTGCTCGGTTCTATCTGTGACAGCGGTGCTCAAGGTGTCCGTGGAAGCAATGGTGGACAGACGATGGTAACCGGTGGCTGGGAATGGCTTCCTTCGGCCAAGTGGCACAGGCGCATTATGCCCCGATACTTCAGAGCCGCCATCGGAAAATGGCTGGAAATCGGACTCTGAGGGTGCGAGGCTATCCAAGTAAGACCTATCTTCGATATGACTGTCCTCTTTGCTTTTGACAGACAACTTAGAGGCCCTATCTATACTAGCTCGCTTTGCTTCTGAGGGCGTATCGCGATCTTGTACCTTTGTTGTTTTGTCGATTGAAGAAATGCTGTCCTTTCCTTTGGAGTGCCTACTCACAGCGCTCTTCGGGCGAGACTCGGAACTTTTCGGGCGCTCGCTGATTGTTGATGGCTCAGACTCAGTACCAAGATGTATCTCGCCATCTGCAAGTTTTTGAGATCGCCTTGCCCGGCCTGACTTCAGATCCAGAGGGGCTGGCATATCAGTCTTAGATCCGGCTTCATCCATAAAAGGATCTGGTGTGTCAGAAAGCCATGCTTCAATTTTGGCGCCACGGCCCGTAGTCGGCGTAGGCGTAGGTCTCGGTGGTTCAGGTTCGGGGATCCCAAACATTTTTCTAGACTCGTCGATCATGTGCGCGAATATACCACCTTTGGGAGGTTTTGCTGGGCCACGCTTGCGTCTCCTTGACAGCTCAGAGAAATCCGCCTCGCTTGCTGCCCACGCATCCTCTGGGGGAGGCGAGTGCGTCCTGAGTCTGTCCGAGAGCTCTGTAGGTTCGACGGTTCTGGGATGGTCCGTTTCATAGTCGCTCTCGGTGATGGTATCGATATTCTGTCGTGCACCCGCGGACTTGGTGTCTCGAATAGGAGATTTAGTTCCCGTTCCGGTACCTCGTTTTCCTTGAAATCGAGGGAGATCGCGATTTTTCTCGTCTTCGTACTCGCTATCGTTGTGTTTCCCCCGTGAAGACCTAAGCTGCCCTTCATTTGTAGTATATTCGGCTATGCGCCTAGGTGTAGGTAGATTGCGCGACGAGGACTGGGTCGAGGCTCGGTTTCGCGTTCGCTTCCAATGCTCGTCACTCACCACACGTTTGCGGGGGGTGCTGTGACTGCGCTTCCTTGTGGTCGGGGGGTTGTCCTTGATCGGTTTCTCCACCTTCTCCAGCTTCTCTGCCTTGATCTTGGCCGGCTTTGGTCTTGGTTTTATATCGTTTTCCTCATCATCGGCGTAGGGGTCGTCGACTGTTACCACCCCGCCGCCTTGTTGCTGCCATTTTCGCACTCTTGAGCGCACCGTGTTCGTGTCATGCGCCCCGAGCGGTTCTCCGATATCTAGCGGTTTTGAGGTAGATTTTGGAGTTCCTCCACGATTGGAGGGACGTTGTGGCGTCACAGAAGATGGCATCGGTACCTATAGATCAAAATAGAGGCTAGTATTAGTAGGTAGCTCTCGATGTTTTGTTAAAGCAGGCACCCGAATAAAGGTTTGACTTCGACAGTCTAGTAATTACTTACCAAACCCCCAGATATCTCTAAGAAATTTGGATCATCTGCCTTTTGGACGATCTTATGAAAATCCTTCAAGGATCATAAAAAAACAATCAGCTGGGCAAGATGTTGGGGGGCTGACAAGGTCGATAAGCCTCTCCCCCTCCCGCACTAAATTGGTTGCTGGGAAACCAAATCGGTGCAAACTAAGTCCACGGGTTCTTATTGGAGACCCCCGATTCAACTTGATATTTTTTTAAAAAAAGATGTTTAAATCCAAGAAGAAACCAGGGAAGACAGAGTTGAACTCGGTTTCATATTGCCAAGTTGCGCGTCAGGTGGTCCCCTGTGCAGGTAGGGTACTTAGGCTCACAGGTATGGTAGTGTGATATTTGATCTGTTCAATTAAAATCTATTAAAATCTATTAAAATCTATTAAAATGTTCAAATCAATAGCTTTAATCCTATCATATGATCCTAGATACTTATACAATATACATCAATATTTTCCTTCTTCCCCTTCTCAATCCAAATTCCCTTTCGTGACACAGTTCTAGCCCGATGCTCCACTATGCCGATGACGAAAGAGGTGTTACTTAGTTTTCTCCTTTTCCGCTTGTTTTAGCGCAGCTGAGATGGTGGAGATGCTTTGATAGAGATAGTCTATTGAATGTCAGCTTATACACTCAGCCGAAGAAATGCATATAACATACAACCCGGAACAACAATCCAGATGAAATTCATAAAAAAGTAATACAGCCAAAAATAATACGGCTCCGGTCGGGAATATGGTCGTCCGTGGACATACTCATCAAACAAACTGGTGGCATAATACAGCGTGTCGCCGTACAAATGGCTCATGCACACAATTACCTGGATGGGGTGGCGCAGGGAATGCCTGGTTGCGGTCAAGTATGCAACAACAAAGCACAATGGTCCCCACAAGAGCTTTGTGGATAGGAATCAGCGGTGAATCTTCAAAAAGTTGGCCTTGTATATGGGGACTCACCACGGTCATGGTCTCCATACATAACACCAACGTGTCCGAGGTCATATACCGGGAATCCGCTAGAGCATATTCTTTCCATAGTTGCCCAAAAAGATCTTGGGCAGAAGCCATGTGGTTATGGTGGAGCATAAAATAACCCTCGAAGAAGCAGTGTAGAGTTCCAGCTATATTCCCATCAATATCGAAACTTTGATCTTTCTTTCGATCGTCTTACAGAGCACAAACCACAGTATGGCGATTCGATCCGCCATGCGCAAGGTCGGTTTCACATAGCTGGCCAGCGCGAAAGTCGCACTAAGAAGAACAGTACATGCCCCACCAGCAGAGACCAGAAGCTCCAACACTGGAGTCTGGTTGGGCTCATAACCCACAACATTGGCATTAAGGGGGTAGTATGGGTGGGATGGTGAACTGGACATGTTTGCAGGTGAGTTGGAACACCTAGACCGAGGTCACAAATATAGAAAAAGTAAAGGTGGACAATAAGTTGGAATAGCTTTTCGTCAAGGGGGTGGAGTTGAGTTCGGCCAATAACAAGCTTAAACCCCTATTGGAGGCTTAAATGGATCTACAATCTTCATTTTGAGAAGAGTGACAGGTCAAATCTGTGTAGAGTTGATTGTTTGAGTATGTTGTGCTCTAGGCTTTAAAAAAAAAGACCCTGAGGTAGATTATTTGCTCACTGTGATGCTGTGCGTTCAATGCTGTTTCTTAATTGGAAGCCAGGTTTATATTATGGTACTCTCCTTGGGTACGAAAGGAAACCCTTTTGTAGAAATATCCCCTCCAAGCCTCCGGAATAAAAATCATCACAGAAAAGCCTGAAGTATGAGTTTCGTCAGGCTTTGAATCCAAATCCCCGTGATGTAGTGATGATGTGATTTGGGGAGTATGAAGTTGATCTGGAGATATTGGTTCATGAAACATTGAGAATAGACTAAGCTTCATATGCGAATGATGCAGGAAACTATCGTCTTGAATCAATTGACTGACAAAAATGAAGATGCTCACTCCTCAAAAAATCTCCATGGCGGCGGCGTTGAATTATTGAGGATAAATCTGGCGCCCTGCAGGTCCAACCCACGCGAGTTCCCATGTCGGACCAACACTTCTAGGGCTTGGTAGTCCTCTAATTCAACTGCCGTGTTTACCATATCCTGCGACAGTTCGAGATCCATCTGGTGGGCAAAGAAAGTCCTCAAAAGCCATCCCTGGCCTGCTTTTAAGGCATCAATCACCAGTTCATCTGTCACTTCAATATCAAACTCGCTCTCCAGGATGCAACTTAGAACAGACACAGATGCCGAATTGCGACGATTATTTGGACTCTCTTTTGCGGTCATCACTGCGTTCAGAATATCCTGGCACAATTTGGGATCTTTAACCCGGGAAAAAAGAAACCCAACGATCGTGGACCTGGAGTAAAGAAATGAACCTTCAATCTTCAAAAACATCTCAGGACAAACTTTGATATGCGGGGCGAAGTTCCAAAGCACCTTGAGCATGTCAACGCTACAGTCGAAATTTCTTGATGCCGCAATCAGAACCTCTTCGGTAACAACAACGTTGTCTAGTCTCAAAAGATGTTTCATCATCTCCAAGCTCCCTTTGGCTGCGGCGGCTAATAAAACAGGTGGCGTGGCCTCGGTGATCAAACATCGATCCAATACCAAGGTCAGCAAGGAATGGTTGCCGGACTCAGCCGCGGTTTGCACATGCGCCTCACAGAGATCAAGCTGTCCGAAATGGTTCTCCAGAATCTGCAGGGTTGCATAGCCTGATATCAAATTACTGATGACTGCGTCGACAACCATCGAGGATGGTTCCTCGATAGTTCCATTTGACTGTAATAGAAACTTTGTCATTTCATCTCCGAATTGAATGTTCTGAGCAGCTCCAAGTAGCATCTGGCTCGAAACATTCGTCGAACCGTATCGATTGAGAAGTTTGAATATGGGTTTGTCATAATCCAAATTTTTCAATGCATTAACAATCACTGCACCTGTAACCTGAATCTCTCGGCTGTCCTCCAGAATGACATCCAGATTGCTGTTCCCTTTGTACGGATTTTCCATGAAAGCAATTAGAACCTCTTCTGAAATCTGAAGGTCAGGTTTCATTCCGAGGAGCGTCTGAAGAGTTTCCGAATTCCCCCATGGAATCTGAGCGCATTGCAGCATCATCTTGACCCATAATTCATCGTCCAATGGTCGGTTCATCCGGGACACAAGGAGCTTAACCATTTGTGATCCATCATAAGCATTCCTTGCTCCGCAGATAATGACGTCGGACGTAATTACGCCTCCAGCCTTGAGCAGAAGCTGGAAAGGAGCAGCCATTCCCTCTTTTGCAGCGTGTACCATAACCTTTTCTGTCACCGGCCAACCATGATCAAGAAGAATCTGAATCACCTCAGAATTTCCGTTACCTTCAATAGCTCGCATCATAGCCCTCTCGGTCCCTTTTGTCTGTCTGGCGCGTTCTAGCAAAAGCTCTATTTTGCCTTGCATCCCTTCTTTGTAACCAGCACAAGAGCTAGCCGTTCCGATAGTATCACTTGTAATGATTGATTCATCATTTTTATCAAGAATTTCTCTCAGAAGCTCAATGGGTATGTCCTCTATGGCATTATTTAGTATCACAGGGGTGATTAAGACCTCGGGGGCTCGGCTGAGAAGTCCTTCAATTGCCGAGTAAGAAAGCTCGCACTCCTCAATGAGGTCGGTCGTGATATAGAGACTTTTATTATGATCAAGCAAGAGCTCAATTATTTCTTTATCTGCCCGATACGTATTTGCAATGACTGATCCGGTAATTAGGTCAGGCTCGATAAGAGTCAAGAACCACTTGAGCGTCTCAATGTCGTTGCCTTCGATTATAGCCTCAAGAATGCACTTTTGCAGTAACCGGTCTTTTGTTTCTCCCATCAAATACTTCAAGATATCATACTGGCAGTATGCTGTGGCCACCATAATACATGCTTCTTTGACGTTATCATCGAGCTCCTGATAGTGATCGATGCGAAGAATTTCACCAAAGCCGAAGACGCAGGACAGCACAAATGCCAGGTCCGGAGATCGAGGGTAATTTTGCAACAGCCGCAGAAACTGCGCTCCGCGATCGTCTTCCAGTTTGCGACGCCGACGAGAATGTACCCAGCACTTAAGTGGGCAGTTCGGATCCGAATCATTAAAGAGAAAATAGCGCAAGAGGCGAAAAAGATGTAGTTCCTCATTTGCTCGATTCACTTCGCCAGCACGCACACAGTGTTCATTCCAATTTCGCAAGGAGTAGTCATGTATGCCTTTCCTGTAAGAGTCGATTTCAGAGAAAGTAATGATACCTTTATCATTGATACCTAGTCTGTCGAGGAAGTGTCTTGCACTGGGTGACCCGGACGCTCCAAGCAATTTCAACAAGCATACCTCCGCGGCAAAGGTGTTGCTGGATTCTGTGGAGTATTCGGGCCTGTTTTCCAAAAACTCTCGCACCGACAGATGGGCGAAGCGAAATGTCCGTTTTCCTTCTTGTGTTGTTTGAGAGATTACAAAATTGCTAAGGAGGTCCAAGATAAAGTCTTCATCGATATCGTCTACCTCAATGTCCACGAAGCTCGTGATGGCTTGAGAAAAGTCTTCCCAGTCGAAAACCCGCGTGGTGCATAGCATCCATTTCAGCGTATTTTGGAACAAAGCCCGATCTGTTTCTTCGGTGCTTTCGAGTGCCTTGTTGTAGAGGTCGTCGTATAGTTCGCTCAGGGGGCGCGGGATCCTCGACATGGCAAATCGAATATCCCTTTCCGTACGAATCCAACGAAGACTTTGCAGCTGCAACTGGGCCCAACGGAACCTAAAACTCGTAAGCTCCTGCGTCGTCAAAGGCCCGGAAAAAGTCCCACTCACATTCCATTAGCCTTAGATATGGTGTCTTCCTTAATCAACTCCTTCAGATCCTCTTTTGCTGCTTTTGCTCGGATATATGGAAGTAGCTGGTTCTTTGCCACTAGCCTGTCTGTTTCAAAATCCACAAACTTCTCGATATCGGACCCATTCTCTACCCACGTCACCTGAACCCCGGAATGTGCCTGGATAGATAACTTCAAGTCACCTTCTTCGCGTGAAGTGACAAAGATCTTGATGAGACTAGTCGAATTGTCGATGATATATTCCAGTGCCTCGACGAGTTCTGCTCGCTCCTCCCTATTACACTCATCCAGAGCGTCTACCACAATAGTGGTCCGGGAATGGGATTCACTCAGTTCAATAATTAAATCACGGCATTGATACAGACTAGGAACTCCCGTGGAACCATCTGCCAGATGCATTCTTCTGTAAAGAGAAACAGTTGGGGGAGCAAGGGGCTGGCTTGAAGAAGGACTGGAAAGCTGACGTGCAATGCATCCGAGAATACTTTGCACATTTGCACGCTGGGGCTCGGCAGTGTTGCGAGAACAGTAAAAGTAGGCATTGGCGAAGTCTTCAATCTTGCTGGAGACATTCATGCCATCCTCAACGACCATTGATGCCAAGCAGCTTTTGCCCGCACCCTGGGCACCATGAAGCCAGAGCAGCGAGTTTGTACTTTCGGATTTCCATTCAGTGAAACTTGCATGTTGCAAGACCCATTGGCATGTTCCATCCAGGACTCTAGATTTGATCGATGTGTGGTGGTCAAAATATGGCTGGGAAGATAACCAGTCCAACATCTGTCGTCGCTGTATACCTGAAAGATATGTTAGACTGCTGCAACCGTTTTAACACAGAGACTTACCGTTCAAATGATCTTCAACCTTGTTCAAGTGTAAGAACACCTGTGAAATTGGCTGCTCCATACGACTGAGCGTATCTCGAAGTGAATGAAAGGCCTTCATCTCTACATGATCATTAGCGGTGGGCATTTTTGCTCGTGGTTTGAGTAGTCTCCATACCTAATGACAAGGTTGAAAGATGAGAGGCAATGTCATTATTCACTGTTATGATTTAGTGATCAGCCATGTAGCCCGAGCAAAAAAGGATGAATGGAATTTTTACCCTGACCCTGAATCAAGCTCACGCATCGGTCTACCAATCTCTCTTCCGCTTCCATTTTGTCCAGAAGTTCCTCGAAATCATTCTGGCCAAGAAGCCCACTTTTTAAGAGTCGCACTAGATGCTGTGAGCTTTCCCCAGCTACAATTGAACTTGGAAATAGGCGCCCACCTCCAGTTTTATCTTCGAAATAGCGCTTGGCTTCGACAAGGTATTTGAGGATCGAACCGTACACGCTCATAATCGCCTGTTCAAGCTGATCAGAGGCAGCTGAACCTTTTTGGACGTAAATCTGCTCGATGATCCTATATCGCGCTGTCATTTTAGCGATTCTTTCGGCGCCTTGCACGACAAAATCGAATTTGTTGAAATCGGCGATAGCAATCTGCAGCAAAAATCGAGCTCCAGCCCATGGTAAGGCAGTGTGGACCGGGTCAAACTGCACAACTTGATCGCCCACTGATTTGAATAGATCAATCCAGCGCGCGACTTTGCTGAGTAGGTCACGAATGATAATCTTCTTCCCTTTTCTTGGGATGGTAAGTTTCCATCTCTTGCGGATGCATGTATCGTATGCTTCCCGAGTAGTTTGTTCAAGACTCTCCAATATATCAAGCTCATTTTGTCCAGTCTTGTTGATACCATCGTCGCCGTCGAAGGCGAGTAGCTGCTGGTCAGATTTGTCCAGTTTAGCTTTCGCAGCCATCCAGAGAGATTGAGGCTCAACGGCCATGATTCTTTGGCATCGATACTCGTTTTAATTGGAAATAATTGGTAGAGACGGATCTCTAGTGATTTTCGAAAAATTCGCGTTGGGAAAATGAAAAAGACTGGTGCCCACCTCCAAGGGCTGTCAGCCTGTGACCCCGCGCTTAGCGGGCTAGGAGGGGTTTATACACATAACATAATATATACATACTAAGGGAGGAATATGGTCCAACTTAATATTTACTGGGTAGATGCTGTTAGATCAGAAATTGGACGACTTTATCATCGCCGCTTGTCCCAGAGGATAATAGCATTAAATCACCCTTTGAAGCTGTGTTGAACACTGTATTTATTACCACACCAGGGTGATGCTATATCAACCTTCGGACTCTCCAAGAATATCAACTCCCCTCAAACCCACTTTCTCTTCATCAACTCGATCCTCATAAACGATGACCCAATAGCTGTACAGTTAGTGTTGGTTTTCAAGATCACCAAAGGTTGTGGGGAAATTCATGCTTACAGTTCTGTTCCTCAAGCCTGCCTAGTGGATACTCTGCAGTCTCGATGGTTTCCCTGTTGTCCAGGGTAATCATCATGATCTTTGCGATGCTAGGCACGCCATCCCGATCCATAACGAATAGCATCCAGTATCCAGGGATTAGGATACCGGAGTCTTTTGGCAGGGTAACTTTCCAGTTATTGCCGAAGAATGTTGTAGCGGTGACATCAAGTGGAATACGGCGTTGATCGGTGTTGACAGTATGGGTGTTGGTGCCCAGACGGATCAGAGAAGCTGTCCAGATAGGACCGGAGGTTTTGAATCTCAAGGTGCTACCCACCAAGGCTTTATCTTGCAGACCCGAGATAATCTCAGGACGGGGCCGGGGCTGTCCCGAAGCAGTAAGGAGGTAGGGAGGAGTGAAAATCTGGCCATCATAGTGGTTGGCTGTGCAATTACCACAGAGACCACCGCCCGCATTGAGTACCCGAGCATCTGGGAGAAGGATTGACACAGTGTGATACACTCTGACAATATTGTTCTGCTGGAGCTTCTGGAAAGAGTTGGTTTCAGGGTCGTAAAGTTCCGGAACAAATTGGACGTTCTCCTCGTTGAAGGCAACGCCAAACTTCTGGCCACCGAAGATAGCGACCTTCCCATCGGGGAGAACGACCGTAGTGTGGAACACACGCTCATGGTGCATAGCGCCTTCTCTTCCGGCCGGTTCAACCTTCGGTGGCTCACCCGGTTCACCGATCGTGATAATATGGGCGGCATCGGTGGCCCACGATTTATCATAGTCAGGAGAGCCACCGAGGGTAAGGATCTTTCCCTTCACGGCATCGAACATGATTGCATTACCAGACATGGAATCCTCGTCCTCCATACGGCGTCCTGCCGCCGTAACACTTCCATTGTCGCGAGCGGAGTACCAGTTCATCTGTTTGCTAGGCCCAGCTTGGAAGACACTCTGATCCTTCCAGCCGAAGAGCCAGCCATGGTTGTCCGCTCGCCAAGGACCTTCCATATCCTCGGTCAACATCGCGCTGACTTTGGCTTCGGGGAGCATAGTCCAGTTCCGTGTAGCAGGGTCGTACACTTCAGCATCTTTATCAACGTTCGAAGCTCCAGCCCATGAACCTCCAATGACGAAGACTCGTCCATCAGAGAGAGTTGTAGACGCCTGGTATCCACGACGGAGTTGCATTTCGGTTGCGCGGACCCACTCATTCTTGACAGAATCATAGAGACTAGTCTCTGAGGCGTCATTACCACCTGTCACAACCATCATGCCGGTGCCGTCATAAGAAATGCCGGGGCAGAACATGTCGTGGTGGGTTTCGCTGACAGTGCGCTTAGAGACCTCACCAGTCAATGGGTCCCATCGGGTCATAACGGTCTTGCCTCCCGGGGTCGAGTGGAATTGGTCATCGGCCCATGATGACCAAAGGGCAAGCACGCCAGATCCCTCCTGAGCACCGGAGACAGGGACGATAGGGAAATCAAGAGTTGGCCCCCAAACACCGAGAGTGGGGTCACGAGGAATGGTGTATAGAGTTCCATAGATGTTGAGTTCAGAGATACCGACCCAGGGATTTTCATCGTCGGCATCAGTCGTGATTCTCAGGTATCGGGCAGATGATGGTTCAAACGCAGACATTCGCTGTCTGTTTACGTTAGGCCACATTCCGTATGCGACAGGCCCTGTCCATGTTTCATGATCTTCGCTGACCCAGATCTTGTGGTGGGTAATGAGACCTTCCAACTTTGTATCAAGTGGAGGAAGGACAACGACGGCGCTCACTTGGTACCATGCTCCAAGATCAACAATGAAAGTATGTCCCTTGTCAGAGGGGTCACTGCGCCAGGAAGTATTGTTTTTGCCATCGATCGCATATTTGCATGGGAAGTTGCGAGCGGAGCTACTGCATGTCAAGGTCCAGTCTTGACGGGGGATTCGATGGCCTTGGTATGGAGGAGATTCATCTTTGAACTCCGGGAGCGTAGAAGGGTTGTCGGCTTTGCCATAGCCAGAAACACGCTCTCCTCTCATAGCCTCGTGCATGTATTTGGCCATACCATTGACTCCCCCAATGGAAGCCCCTAAGAAGAGGCCGACCCATTGAAGCTTCATATTGGGAGAACTTTATCAAAAAGCGAAGAGAATGTGAAGAATAAAAGGAAGGAGAAGCTCACTTCACCTGTGTGAGAGTGAAATCTTGACGTGAGCAAAGGGCAGATATAAGGGCAATACTCAGCATGCTCTGCCTGGGGCAGAGCGCTACTCCTATTTAGGATCCAATGGATCTTCAGCACGGAGTACGGAGTAATCCGCAATCACTTATGCCAATAATACACAAATTAGTCTGTATGACAAGCCCAATTTCTTTGGGGGGTGGAGATGCTCTCCACCAGTCAAGCGGCAATCCTGGCATTGCTGAAAATGAAGAGAGACAGACGTCAGTGATTGCCTAGGCCCACCTTGCGTAGTACCCTGACTAGGGCACTCCTTTTTAGATCGGTGAAGAAAAGTTCCCAAAAACTGGACCCAATCGGTCATGCTCGGGGAGAGATCAATGATCGGCAAGTGCTGCAGAAGACACGGGTTGCAAGCCCACTCCGACATTAATAGGGAGTTCAAGTTCAGCTGTGCGAGGTTATTCCTGTTATGTGGGGCTTACAGGATTGAGAACTTGTCACGGCTCGGCAATCGAAAATTGACCAATTGGCAATTGGCAATTTGGTGCAAACATTAATTACTGCATGTCGATCATGCGTGAGAGGAGGAACCATCCACAGATATATGATACATGTTGACAGAGATTTGATAACGCAATTGTGTTTTTCTCCAGTTATATATGCAAATTCAAGTACTTCAAAGAAATAATTGAGATTTCTGTTCCCAATAATATTCGTAAATTATATTGAGCGATGGGCTTCCAAGGTTGGATACATCCATAATTCCAAGGTTCGTGCTAGCGATATTTAAGTGTGGATCCCGGCCCGCTTCCGCTAAGACATCCATGGGTTTGGGCTAATCTTGTTCTCTTAAATCGATCACGTAGGTGGAAACCCTGGAGCTGAACCACGGACATTCTCGGACTGTACCCTAAACGTGAGCTTCCTGCACATATGAGCTATATCGCTCCTTGAGCTACATATGGAGGACTCCTTACCACAATACGGCAATACGGACCCACAATTTGTCAAAGTGGAAAGCTGAAAACTGTAAATTGTCTGGCACTTCATGATTTTCCTGTGGCAAGCTGCTAGGTGAGTGAGCATGCCCATAATATATACAATGATACATCCATAACACCCAACAATCAATGTTTGCTGCTCGTTGCATCACCTTTGATCAACTGAAACAGGAGATAGACACGAAGGTTTCTATTACTTAAATGCAGCTATACTGCACCGGTTATAGTAGATAGCCGCCAAAGCCTGAAGATCTGCACGGAGTACTCCGTACGATGTATATCGATATACATCTTACATTTCCAGATATGGATATTCCGGGTTCTCCACTACTGCAGCCCATGCGTCGTACCAACTGCAGGAACCGCGATATGTTCGTGGTATCGTAAAATGGTCCATCTCATTTTCTTGGAAGTGGGCCCATCGATTGTCACTGCTAAGTGGACTATGTTGATCTTCAGAGCAATATGAACCTATGATCATCTCTGAATTAGGAATCCCTTCAACTGATCTACTGCGGGGCAGTGAGTTCGCAAACTCACGTCAATGCTACGGAGTAGTCCGTATGTTGTAGTCAAGGCGTAGGTACGAAGCCCTTCCCTTCTTACATCATGCCCGTATAGATAAATGTGGCTGTAATCGGTTATTGCTATTGGATCTCACTCGGTGCTAATGTCGGTGTTGAACATGCCCCATATCTGTGGAGTGCTGGGCGATCTGATTCAGTAGCGCAATGCTACTATCTGCGGTGCAATCGCCTGCTATGCCCCGCTTCCTCTCTTTGCTTTTATCTGGTTGGAAAATGGAATTGTCGCTGGGTCGCAAGACGGCGTGCCATCCCTCTTTTTCATATAATTATCCCATCCCCTCAGGTCAACCCGTGTGGTTTGACAGTAACCTTCATTGACACTGGGTCGTTCACTCTTTAAGAGTACAACCTTCCATCATGAGTCTTACTTCGGCCATCAAGGCAAATATCCAGGGAGATGTTTGGTAAGTCTCCCGTGTCACCGAATGATCATATATCAGCATGATCTTTCTTTTTTTTAAAAAAAAATACTTATCTCCATCAGGCCTGGGCTCCCCAAAAGATTCCAAACCTTTCTCTTTTTCCGCGTTCAAAACAAAGTTGATTTCAAGAATCGACTGAGGACATTTATTCCCAAGATCACTACAGGCCAAGATGCCTGTGAGATGAGCGAGACCATTAAGCAGGCAAAGAAGGATGCCCAACTAGCAAGGAGATCAGCTAAGCTCCAAGCGTTACCGGGAATCAACATTGCCTTTACCTCTACTGGCCTTGAAGCAGTAAGTCATCTTCCAAGCGGTTTGCACTGGCATTGAACAAATACTCATAAGCGATGACCTACAGCTTGGAGCGTTTGTGAATACCAACGATCAGGTTCTTGTTAAAAAGGATAGACAGCTATCTACAGTCTTCCGGAAACAACAGCTCCGCGGTGGACTGTTCGAAAAAGGCATGTATGCGGATCTTGTGGGCGAAGGTTGGGACAATCCCCAGGAGCTTCGAAAGGAGTACCAACCCACCATCAACAATGAAAGACTCATTGACGGTGTAATTATGGTCACCTCAAGCCTAAAGTCTGGTCTAGATGCCAAGATCAAGGAGGTGAAGCAACATTTCCTAGCTGAGGAGGGAGAACCTCTCAACCCAGACACCTATGTGCTTAGCCAGGACCCTTGTATAGAGTTAACCCTAGTCAGAGAAGGGAAGGTTCGACCAGGGGCTATGAAAGGGAAGGAGCAGTAAGTACTTACCATACGCCTGGGGATCTCGGTAGGCCAAACTTACCATTATATTCAGCTTTGGATTCAAGGACGGAATCAGTCAGCCCATAATTGAGGGCTGGGATGACAGGCAGCCCCAGGGCAAGGAGCCTAAAGCCACAAAGTCGGGGTAAATATGCCCCTAGTCATTGAATGAAGGGACCAGACTGATGAAATGCAGATTGATTGTTTGCGGGCATGAGGGTGACCCCATGGGTCAGCCAGCGTGGGCGAAAGATGGCAGTTTCCTCGTTTTCCGTGATCTTCAGCAGCTTGTTCCTGAATTCGATGAGTGAGTGACCTCCTTCGAGTGTTACTGTTTCCTGGTACTGACCAAGTCTATAGGTTCATGGAGGAAAATGCCCGCCATGCCCCATTTACTCAGGACCACCCCAGGCCAGCCGAAAAGCTTGCTGCCTACTTGATGGGAAGATGGAAGAACGGTTCGTCGGGAATCAAGAGTGAAGATTTGGGCAACAATTTGCTGATGAAACCGACTTCTAGGAACCCCTGTGGATGAGTCCCCTCATGATGACTCTGACGAAAGCCTCTTCTCATCAAACAACTTCGATTACCATCCCGTCACAGAGCACATGAAGTGCCCCTTTGCAGCACACACCCGCAAAATGAGACCACGAGCTGACTTGGAGCACGACCATGCTGTTATTATCCGTCGTGGCATTCCTTACGGCGATGAAGTCTCAGCCGAAGAAATGACCGAGCGAAAGTCTGCTAAAGACAAGGAACGTGGGCTTCTGTTCGTTTGCTACCAGAGCGATATTCGAAACGGATTTAACTTCTTGACAACCCGTAAGCACTCGAAATTTGAAATCGTGCATAACATGCAACAAAGGTTTACCCGTCGCTAACATCTGACTTTTCTAGGCTGGGCAAGCAACCACCACTTCCCCGACCGCAAGACTCACTTTGTTGGTGGTGAAGGTCCGGGTATTGATGCGTTTGTGGGCCAGAGACTGGACCACCACCCTCCTCGCTCTATCGGTCTTCCTGATGGTAAATTCCCCACCGAGGCTCGCATGCCGTTGGAAAGTTGGGTTATTCAAAGGGGTGGCGAATACTTCTTCGTGCCCTCTATCTCGACATTGAAGAACGAACTCACAGGCCCAAGTCCTATCTTTGACCAGGAGAAACTTGAGCAACTCCGTGAAGAGAACGAGTAATTATGGGGTAACGAAATGGTATCTCTGTGGTAGATATATATCGTGCTAGACACTTGTCGAATTTTATGCTATAATCAATTAGTCCTTTGGACATCTCTCATGATCTGTTAGAGGTAAAGAACGCATCTTTCTCAAAAGACACACGTAAGATGCTATACCTTTCAATATATGAAGCACTAAGATTTTTCGTAATCAAATATGACCTCTCAACGAAGCCTATACGATCCATGCCGTATGATATTACTGACGAAGTTGAAGGGGCCAAGCGCTCACGATGTCGTTTCTGGTTTCGGTCTAGATCCGGATATCCTGCCTCAGGCACCGACTCCGCATAGCCAAGGTCCTTTTACGAGGCTCACCCCTCAACTTACCGTGATTCCCCGACACTGCTTGAATGGCGTTGCACTCCATGATTCTCCTTTACAATGGTATCTGAATCTCCTCGGCCTTTGGGCATTGACGTCTCACGTTCCTCTATGGAGTCGCCACCAGCCATTGCCGCCTTGTTCGTCATCAGCTTTGACATAAGGGCCGGGTATGTCCTACTCCTTTCCCTAGGCATCGCAGTTCTGAGGAATCTTCGCTGACATTATGCGATAGATATGTGGTTTCGTGGAAGCGAACTACGCCGGGAGGTGAGCAATCAGTTATCTAGCCGAGGCTAAAATTACTCCCACGCGCAATGCTAACTCCTAGGGTGAACAGTTGAGGTTGAAGGGGTCGTGGAATACAAATCACTGCCCTCTGGGCTGCACAATGTAACAGAGGATCTGGTGTAAGTTTTTTGAGAACTTGAAAAGCTTTAGATCCGATCTTTGCTAATGCGATCATATAGGTACTTTGTCCATGAACAGTATGCCGGTATCAGCGCGTTCCTCAATCATCCCGCCACGGAGGCCGAACGAAATGCAAAGATGTTTGCAATCGGGGTTCTGGTGCCTCTCAGCACCGGAAGACTTGGGAAGAGCTGGCGACATGCTCCAAGGCTCAAGGAACTCACGCTGTTTGTATCTCGACCCGCGATGGACGAGATCCCGACTGACACGTGCTCGATAGGAAATACGCCGAGAACATGTCGGACATGCAGCATCTATGTGATTATTGGGACACATATAGGATAGGAGGGACCGATTCTTCAGCGCCTGAATCCCCCCTCGACTCACCTCTTAGTCTTCGTTTCCGACCCAGCGAGCGACCAGATCACTCGAGTCGCAACCGCGCCTTCAGCGATGCGATAGTACTAGAAACGTTTAGGCCTGCCCTGACGCCCTTCCACCCCGCTTCATCACTTCCAAATTTCACAGAGTGCTTCGGACCTTTGATCTTCCCCCTTTACAGAGCAGCTTTGCTGCGCAAGCGCATTCTCTTCATGGGCGAGGCTCCTGTTCACACATCTTGCAACTATGGTATGCTCCCACACGCATTTCGATTGATCTATTGCTAATCCAGAATTAGTATACGATCTTTCTCTCTTAGCCTCATTGCCAAACTCCCTCCTCCAGCTCCTCCCCAACGATCGCATGCCCCCTCTACGCCCTCGCCCCCTCTTTAACGTCGGCATCCATGATATCCCCTATCTCTCCTCCTTGGATCCATCGCGCAGCATCATAGACCTTGAAACAGACCCTAGCTGGATCGCCTGCTCCACTGACACCGTCTTAACCATGAAACCTGACCTCTTCGACGTCCTTATTACTCTCCCCGCACCATACTCACAACAAACCGCGGAGCGAGCATTTCCCAAAATATCCATAGTCCACAGCACAGGCGGCAAACCCAACCAAGCCCAACAAATTCAGCTAAAAGCAACCCAGCGCGACGCCCGTCGCTACGCTATGCTCCGCCGCGGACTCCGCCAATTCTCCAACGACCGCCCCACATCCCCAGACCTAGACCAAGACCGTTCAGATACAGACTCGACCTATTCCTCCAGCCCTGTCGTCGAGCCCCTCTCCTGGACCCGCCTAGCCTACACCTCTTTTATATGGTGGGCCTCGGCCGGCGAGAACCGCGACGGTCTATCAGAGGAAGAGGAAGAACAGCAGATAGAGCAAGACTCTCGCCTTCTGGCAAGCGTCGAGAGCCTCGCCCATCCCCCATACAACCCCAACTCCAGCCCCAGCCAAGCCCGCAACCCCCATGAAGACCAGCAGCCGCGCGAAGTCGCGTTGGTTGCGTACTTCCGTCGCCTGACGTCGCAGATATTCGTTACGTTAGCTGGCGCTATCGCGCGCTATGATAACGACCTCGACGGTGCATATAATGATGCCCCATATATTGACGAAGATGATGATGCCGAGGCTTCGCTCTCCATGTCCCGCGAGTCCTTCCACGGCGATGATGGGAGTTCGCCTTTACTTCGCCAGCGGTCGAGCGTGAGCGGGTCTCCTAGTCATGGGTCAAGAGTTGGTCACCGCGACGCTGGTGCCAACGACGCAGTTACGATTACAGTGGCGGATATGGCGGAGATGGGGCTTGATGTGTGGAGTGCGACGGACCGGGTCTTTGTTGAGGAGCTAGTTTCTTTGTGGTGGGGTCGTAGTGCGAAAGTTGATAGTGCGAGGATTAGGTGTTGTGGGATCTCGGTTTTATAGAGGCTGGTTCTCTGTCTTATCTTTGAGATCTCTGTTTTTTGTTAGGCATATATTATACATTGTAGGTAAATATACATATCTTCATATGGTTTGTTTGAATCTAGTTTCGGCATAGATAACCTGAATTTACCTCATAAACAAGGCTATGACCATTGTAAAATATGTAGACTTCACTCTCAGTAGCCGAAATATATGTACAGAAGAAAAGCAAGACATAGGAAATGTGAAAAGACTGACAGGCACTGAAGCCGAAATTGTATCCAAGGATAGGTAGTTGGGGAATTAAACCATAGTATACTGAGGCTCGTAACATCGGAGATAAAAGAAAATCTAAACACAAAACATATTGCTTTCAACCACGATGCAAATGGAATAAAGACAAATTGATGCAGCGCCAAGGGGGTATTAGAGGAAACGATAAGCACCAGCAGACCATGCAAAAGAAAGACATAAATATGCGTCATGGGACATATATATCCCAAGGCATTCATTAACGTCGGAACATCCGAACAGGAGCACTCATATCTCGGCGTTCACCAAGTTCGTTCTCGGTCCTCGAATCAGCTCGAAGATTGGGGTTGGGAAGGCGTCGAGGGCCCCGAGCAGAGGTCGGGTTGGATCCAGCGGAGGTTCGAGCTGCGCGGCCAGGCTCGCTGGCACTGACTGATCGCTGCTTGCTGTGGGTACGGCCTCGTCGAGCCCTGATCTGTGCGAGTGCTTGTTCACGGTCGATGGGTGTATCGGGAATGCCAGGGTGCGAAGTGCGCTGTGGCTGTGGCTCTTGTCGGGAAGGAACTCTCTTTGGGGGGTGGATAGGCTGGCGGTGTCCATGGGGTCCTCTCTCGACGCGCCTGGACGGTCTTGCTTCCACAGACAGTGGTGCTCGCGACTGCTCGGCGACACCATCTAATGGGGTGGGGCGAGCCATTCTGGTCAGAGCTGGCTCCCCAGAGGGGGTGAATGAGTCGACTTGTTGGTCCATTGGTGCAGAGTCATCGGTGTGACCTGCGTGGACATCTGGCTGGGGCTCGGCGAGGTCAGGTGTGTTGAAGAAATCTAATCGCGGAGGCCTGACGTTATCCCTGAGAGGAGATGGGAATGTCGTGAATGTGCCGGTCTCTGGGGAAAATGTAACCAGAGGCTCGGCTGGCATCTTCATCTTGGGGAGATCTCTAGGTTCAGCCTTCGCAGTAGGCGCGGTGTGCTGGTGAACAGGAACAGGTGGCGCCGCCAGAGGGGTGCGACTTGGCTCAGATCCTTCCTGGTGGCCGCTGTGTCGAGGCGATTTCACTTGAGGAATGGGGACCTGGTGAACAGGAGATCGGTGGACGGGGGGTGGAGGAGGGGGAGGGCTAGCCTCGGAGGTGCTGGCTGGATGAGGATGGGCTTCGTGAACACTAGCTTGCAAAATGCTGGCTTGCTGAGCACGAGCTTTCTCTTCCGCCTCAATCTGAGGTTTTTGGAATTTGTTATAGTAATCAGCGTCGTAGATGTAGCGACGGCCTTGGCTCTCAGCGAGCCTGCAAGAGCAGCGTTCGAACTGGCACTCAATGTTCAGGAAATGCACCATATCTTCGGCTGCAACTCTGCGACGACGCTCAAATTCTAGCTCTTCCTTAATCCCTTCCAACAGATCCTGGTCGATTTCAGCAGCTGCCTCTGGTGCGGGTTGTTCGCTTTCTGCCTTTGGTGCACAGTCTGACAACCGTGGGCGTTTAGGGGGAGTGGCTTCTGCGTGATCATCTTCGCGTGCTGGAGCTGGAGACCGAACAGATCCCGCAGCGGCACGTTTCGGTCTGCGTGGTGTGGCCAAAAAGGCGAGGTCGCCTTCCGCTATTGACAGTCTTCCGAATTCTTCTTTCCGGATCTCGTGGGCGCGGACTTCGAGGGTGCTCGAGTGGTTGTCGGTTTCAAGGGCGCGGAATTTCTCTTTAAGGACTTCAAGTTCCTCCGTAAGACCAGCGAGAGCATAGGCGCGTTCGAATGCCTCCTGCTTGGCCTTGTCCTTCGACTCGCGTTCTGCTGCCACTTCGTCTTTCAGGGCTCTGACCTCTGATTTCGCATGCTTCAATTCTTCTTGAAGTTTCACCATGGTGGATCCAGCGCGGAAGGCTTCTTTACGGGCTTTTCGGATTTCCTTTTCAAAAATTGATCGTTCGTGGGCCTGGCGTTCTTTCGTCCCATGTAGCTCTTCTAGCAATGATTCGAGGCGTTCACTGATCCGGCGTTCTCGTGTCTGTGCTTCAGATAAATCTTCTTGTGCGGTGGCTAGGGCGGACTCGGCTTCCTCCCGGCCCATGATAGCCCGTTGTAGAGCGGCATTGCTGGCTGTAGAGTTGGCAGGGCTGCCTCCTCGAGATAGGCCGTTTAGGAACGCCACTTTGGCTTGAACTTCTGAAACACCTCGAGTGTTCTTGTGGTGCAGTGTAAGGAGATCGGAAGGTAGTGAAGGAGAGCCGGGTATGGTTTGTTGATTCATGCGTTCCGGTGAAACCGGATGCAGCGCTTTTGAGGGGCTCAGGATGGGACGCGTTGGAGACTCCATCGCAGTTGCTTCGTGACAAGTAATGGATCCAGCCGATGAAGATCACAAGGACAAAAAAATCATCACAGGAATGAAGAGTAAGATTCACGAGGGAAAATCACCGTTGTGGAGTCAGGGTGGTGACGCACCCACAAGAAACATGGATGTTTATTGCCCTCTTTGGAAGGATCATGTGACAGTTGCCCTGGTGACTCTCTGCACCTTCCCATATTTGGTTAGACACTCACGTGCCCCCACATCAGGCCTAGCGTCCATTTTTGGCTATGTCTGTGCGTCTTTGCGGCATTGTCGATATCAAAATTTATTGAGGGGCTACACTGCGAGTGTCATTTCTTTCATCGATATGCATGAAATTGTCACGCTTCAGCTTGGTCAGCGGGCTAACTATCTAGCAACACATTTTTGGAATCTCCAGGTACTGTCATCTACAATAATATATGAACTCCAGTCTGATATATAACTAGGAATCATACTTTACATATGATGGTGAACAGTCCGATGTCGATCATGACGTTCACTTTCGACCGGGTGTTGGAGCAGATGGGTCTGAGACTTACACTCCACGCACAGTAATCTATGACCTGAAGGGCGGATTTGGTACATTGCGTAGATACAATGCACTTTACGAGCTGAGTGAAGACTCCACAGCAGGCCAAGGCTTATGGTATACAGCTCAAATTGATGAATAAGTCTTTCGTTGTCAAACTAACATCTGGTAGGGATGGACGAGAGATAGTCCAAAAGCAAACTCCGATACAACAAAGTGAATATCAGAAAAGCTTGGATCTGGGTACTCCAGCCCCACGCCTGACATCAGAGTCCGTACGCTACTGGTCAGACTACAACAGGGTGTACTATCATCCAAGGTCCATTGTTCAACTAAATGAATATGAATTAAACTCGCAGACCATGCCCTTTGAGGATTGGAATGTCGGGGAAGGGTTATTCAAAAACCTTGATAAGGAACATGACCTACTGGATCGTGATGTGAGACCTCTCCTTGAAGAATGTGACCACTTGCGGGCACTACAGCTGTTCTCCGGGTCAGATGACGCCTGGGGCGGATTCACTGCCCAGTATATGGAAAGACTGAGAGATGAGTTCGGAAAGAAAAGCATTTGGGTCTGGGCTATTGAGGACGGCACCAAAACACAGCGGGTAAGCGACACAGTGGTGCAATTTTGAAAAATCGCACGCTCGGTTGGCTAAGTTTCAAACTTTGTATAGCACCACCAGTTCAAGAAGGACACGAACAAGGCCAGGTCACTTTACTCGATCTCTCCACTGGCATCGCTCTATTCTCCAATTATCGACGTTCCGCATAAGCTACCCGGCTACCTCAATGTTGATCGCCAATCAGAATGGCAAAAAACCGCCCTGATAGCCTCGGCAATTGAATCGATTACACTGCCTTCCCGATTACGGCCATATCAGCATTTCGAGGCCTCCCTTGCGGGGGAAGATGGCACACACACTATCTTCGAATTGCAATATTCCATCAATAAACTCAAAATCAATGATAGTCAAACCCAAGCCTCCAATGAAGATGGGCCGACCAAAGCCGAAATTGAATTTGACGTTGACTTCGCCTATGATGGCGAGTACAAAAAGGGCGCCCATATCTTCAACCAAGTCCAAGTAACCCGTGGAGACGAACCGGAAAGGGACAGCGACTCTATCGAGGACAGCGACATTGGGCACCTTCGCAAACTCAGACGATACAACTCAGAGGCGATGCTCCAAAGGTAGGTTTCCCATTTTTTCACCCTCTCGGCTAGGAAGCTCACATTCTATATCATTATAGTTTCCACACGCCACTTGGCATGCCTATTCTGGATAGTTTCCCGCACGACATGTTCCCCGCCCCCGAGGCAGGTAAAGGAGTAAATGTGTTCACCGCATTGACCGCATCGACACGGACGGCTCAGAGTATCAAGGCTATCTCGGCAACTGCCGCACGTCTGACCTCAGTCGAAGAGCGCGAGGCCTTGGTGAACGGGCTCGGCGAGATTCGAGAGTACTACGAGACAGGGTGGAGTAGTGGCTCGGATGATGAAGATGACTAGGCACCTTGGATAAGAACCTCGTATGTTGTTATTATGATAAGAAAATGACAGGATATATACATATATAGCCAGTTTCAGCTGATAATTACCTTTAAACAGATTCAACGGAATATTACCATGTAGTTATTCAGGAGGACTTTATGAATTTGGGCCCACTACGAAGCGGTATAGCTATCAGGTTCATAACTACCATAGATTCTCTATCCGAGAATTTTTTTTCGACAGGGAAAGAGTGGAATGTTTGGCGCATCTCGAGTTCGAAATACGCTGGGCCATATGAATCCATTTTTCCACCGTAGGCGCCGACGGTCTTTTTCAATGAGAATCCTTTCCTTAGGCTTTCATACCCGATCACCAAAACCCGTGACCCTCGAGGCTTGATCGGTCGCCTTGAGCTGTTCTTCAACAACAGAGATGTTTGGCTACCCCAGTGTGATGATCTTGACAGTACGAGAGCCTCGCGGAAATTCCTGTGGATTAAGAAGCAGAGTGAAGTCATCTATCAGTATCACCGTTAGCAACGATCCCATGGTAATTCAAGTCTCGTTTTGCGATGGACTGACCCTTGTAGAGCGCGAATTTGGCTTCCATCATCTCGGAAAGCGCTGGCTTGCTGTTGAATGGTGATATGACCTAGACGTTTTTGTGACTTTGCTTCTCCTTTGTTATTAGGATATCTTCGGCCGACCGCGACGTACTCTCGCATCCATCGGATGAGCTATTGTGTCTCTTCATGGTGGTCCTTGGGGCGCCATATCTAGGTTATGCCTTTTTGGCCGGTCCAATCGAGGTTTGGGCCGTTGAGATGAGCCCAGTTTGTCGCGTGAATTGTCTGCATGCATGCCTCGAAGAGCAGCGGACATCATGGGCCGCTTCGATGGGACAATCGCGAATACAACAAGTTCGTCGATAGGTCTGGGCCCAATTCTGCAATGTAGTTTGGTACTGCTCGATCATCTCTGCTGCTTTTGCCTCTTTGAAATAGATATTGACTTCACAATGCTTAGTAGTGCAGATGATCTAGCCGTGCTAATAGGATCGTAGTGCGAAAGGTTGCTGGGACTCAATTAGAAATTGGAAGTTTTGGCCTCTTTGCGACTCTCGGGGTTTTGTCCCTTTGTTACTATGAAGCTTTCTAAATAGCTTCATGGTATTAGGGAGATCGTCGCCATTGATTTCTTTTGATCATTCTCTTGCTTCCTTCATAGAGACATAGATCATATCATGTCCATCTTCAACCTCAAGGCCAACTAGAGTGAATCTTCAAATATAAGAGCTCCAAGAGAAAACGACAGGGGCATATACAGTTAGCTTCTCCTAACAATGATGTCCTTTTTGTAGTGTGTTTTATACCATAAAAAATAGTGGTACATAGCCGGGTTCGGCTGATAATTGCCCGGTCGGTAATGCCCAGGAAAAGACCAGGATTTTGTGGCTTGGGGTCTTTGCTCACATTTGCACTTTATTCTTTTGAAAAGGCTGGTTTTCCACGAGAGTTCAAGACATTTCGTTTATTCTGGCTTCCAAAGGCATCTGACTTGTAACCCCGCATTTTCCAAGAGAAAAAAAAGAAAAAAAAAAAAAACAAATAGAGAGTCTGTCAAAATTTTAAAGCTAGGAAAAAGGAGCAAATTCTTTGGGAGAATTTCTGTTGGGGACAGTAGACAGGGGGTACCTGCATTGGACTACAACATTTTGAAGTGAACTCACATCGCCATTTTACGATGTTTATGGTTCACCAGAAGCTCTCTGTCTTTATTACTTTTTATGTTCTTATGACCTTTGAAATTCCAAGGTTTCCCCACATCAACGTTGTCTCACTTACACTCACTATATCAAGCCTAAAGTGAAAACTCTGGATCTCTTTGGAACATCAAAGTCTGAATCCTGGGGAAGCTTTGAATTTGTTATAATTCCAAGGTTTTGGAAGTTGGCCACCAATATGAGACATCGTTTATCATTGGCTCAACCTTAGTATCTGGTCGTCTAGTCAACTGGGTCCGTGTACTCATGCGCTAGCTATCGCCTATGCATTCAGATTTCGATACATACACCCAGCCTCGTCGTTGAAAATATGCGGGTCGACCGCTTATTGGTTTATACCAAGTTCTGGTTGGTATTAGAATATGATCGCCACCTTTTGCTCTGACTTGCGTCTATTTTGAGTGCCTAATCGAACCAGCCAAACAGGAATTGGGACTCCGAGAAGAACTAAACTCAGAGGCATATATAAACCTGCCCTGTCCCCCGTCTGCACCCAGCCTCTATTCTAGAAATACATATCTCAATTGTTCATATTGCCCGTTCAGGAACTCTCTCGCTACGGTTCCTATCGCCCTTCGTTCCAAGGAACATATCAACCCTATCTATAAACGAGATAATCTATACTAGTACATAATAACCATTCGTTTGCTAGCCAAGATGCGGGGTGCTCCAATCGCTCTACTCTATGTGGTGGTGACCTTGGCGTCCGGCATGGTCATTACCTCCAGACTTACTGCTGAGGCTCACATTGCTGTCCGCGGTGAAGACCACGATGGCGGTGGTCCATGGTGGGGTGACCATGGAGGTCACGGCGATGATAACCATGGCGGCGGTCATCATGGGGGAGGTATTCCCCCAGCAGAGACCACTCCCTGTGAGACTGAGACTCCCCCGCCTATCAAGACCTCCACCCCGTGCGAGACCAACACGCCTACTACTACCCCAGCTGTGAATACAACCACTCCCCCGGTTGTCACGCCTACCTCGACCCCAACTCAAACTTACACCCCGACTCCCCCGGCCGAAAGCTCTACACCGTGCGAGACAGACACGTCTACTACTCCCCCAGTTGCGTCGTCAACTACTCCACCGGTTGTAACGCCTACCTCGACCCCATGTGGAACTGACACACCAACTCCCCCGATCAAAAGCTCTACACCGTGCGAGACAGACATGTCTACCACTCCCCCAGTTGTGACTTCTACGTCCCCTCCGGTTGTGACATCAAGTTCGACTTCTAGCGAGACGTGCACTCCCACTGCTCCCCCCGCCTCTAGCACTCCCTGCGAGACCGATTCTACCACAGCGTCACCTCCTGCTTCTACCACTACCTGTGAAACCGAGACATCCACTGGTACTCCTCCAGTTGTCGTGATAACCACCACCTACACCACTACCACCTGCCCAGGTAAGTAAACGTGTCACTGTTCCATCAATTACAATTGCTAATAAAGCTAGTTACCTGGAGCACCGTCACAAGTGGCACCACAACATACACCCACCCCGTGACCCAGACTAGCACGATCACTGTGACGTCTGTTTCCACCTGCAGTGAGGGCTGTACCCATCCCACAACCCCTCCCATCAACCCCACGATTCCCCCTGTTGTTTCAACAACTTCTATAGTGGTGCCCCCTTCAACCACTAAGCCTACCATCCCCCCTATTGTTTCCACGTCTGTGGTGTCTCCTCCGGCTATTGAGCCCAGTGTTCCAGCTACTGAGCCTACTGCCCCGGAAGTGTCAACCCCCGTCACTTCTTCTACCGTCGCTCCTCCTGTTTCCTCTCCTGCTTTTAACAATGCTCCAGCTCTCCACATGTCAGCTGCGGCCTTCCTTCCTGGTCTCACTCTTCTGTTTGCTCTGCTCTGATTGTTCTACGCGGAAATTGATCTATCAAGACAAAGGTGATATCATCACCCTGGGAAGGGGCTTATGATACACCTCGCCATTATCCCTGCCCACAAAAAATGAATATATAAATGCCCAAAAAATGTATTCGGCATTTCCGGTGTTGAAAGACGCCAGGATGACGGACCGTTATTAATGGCTTTCTTTTCAACGACTTGACGCTCCTTATCCAGCTTATGGGACCCTAATTATTGTCATATATGCATTACGTTACAAGTTGGTATACATCAATTACCCGCATTTTCCCGTCCTTATTATAAAATTAGGACATTCATAAGTTGTCTGGTACACAATTTAGCCCTGCTTGAAATTAGGGCTGCGGCAGCGATAACGATAAGCAATGCAAACATCAAACATTGTCCAGCGTGTTTGCATGATGACCCGTGTCCTCATCCAACAGCTCAAGGTTTCTGGCTTCAAGTTACTGCCAAGTGGCCACAGTATCCCTTTGCTTTCAAATGGCTCAATTTTGAGTCATCCTTTTAATTTTCCCTTTCTGCTCATCCTTCCATACTACCTATCCCCCAACCCAACACCAATATCGAGCTATCCCATAGCTCCATCCGATCGTCCATCTGGCGCAAAGCCACCCGACACACTATTTGGAGTCTCGGTAGAGTGATTGAATATCTGTCAATTTGTCTATATATGTTCGCCCGCGGGTAATTTCTCCCTGCTCAAATTGCGAATAGCTCCCTGAATCGGCGATTTGCTACTCCTGCAGCCCAGAGCACACACATAGATCATGGCGTTCTCAAATCGCCGGCAGTTATCCAGCTCGCCAATGCTATCCCTTATGGTCCTCCCATTCCTTGTATTTCTTCTCAGCTTTGCTGGGCCAGCTTCTGCCGCCGGATCGGCCGTCCTGGGAATCGACATCGGCACGGAATATTTCAAGGCCGCTCTCGTGAAACCCGGCATTCCGCTCGAGATCGTCCTCACCAAGGATTCGAAGCGCAAAGAGTCCGCTGCTATTGCTTTTAAACCTACAAGAGAGAGTGATGCACCTTTCCCCGAACGTTTCTATGGTGGTGATGCGCTCGCCCTTGCGGCTCGGTACCCGGACGACATCTACATCAACCTGAAGACTCTGTTAGGCGTTCCGTTTAATGATGGCCAGGATGAGGCGGTCAAGACCTATTGGACACGGTTCCCCGCGTTGCAATTGGAGGCCGCACCCGATGGTCGCGGCTCTGTTGCTCTCCGCAGCAACCGACTGGGAGAAGCCCAGAAGAAGGAGGCCTTCTTGGTTGAGGAGATTCTGGCAATGCAGTTGAAGCAAATCAAGGCTAATGCTGATGCGTTGGCTGGAAAGGGATCCGATGTCCGTGATGTCGTTATCACCTACCCTGTGTTCTACACCGCGGAGGAGAAGCGCAGCCTCGAGTTGGCGGCTGAACTGGCGGGCCTGAGGATCCAGGCTCTTGTCAGTGATGGATTGGCCGTGGGGTTGAACTACGCCACCAGCCGTACTTTCCCCAGCGTTTCTGATGGCGAGAAGCCAGAATACCACATCGTGTATGACATGGGTGCTGGGTCTACCACCGCGAGTGTTTTGCGGTTCCAGAGCCGCAAGGTTAAGGATATTGGCAAATTCAATAAGACTATCCAGGAAGTTCATGTTGTCGGAGCTGGTTGGGACAAATCACTTGGAGGCGACTCCCTAAACGACCTCATTGTGGATGACATGGTCGCCCACTTGGTTGAGGACAAGAATATTAAAGGTAAGGCTACTCCAGCTGAAATCAAGGCGCACGGAAAAACTATGTCCAGACTCTGGAAGGATTCAGAGAAACTGCGACAGGTCCTGAGCGCCAACACCGAGACTTCGACAAGCTTCGAGGGATTGTACTACGAGAATGTCAACTTCAAGTACAAGCTGAGCCGTGCCAACTTCGAAAAGATGGCCTCTGACTATGTCGCCCGCATTGGATCTCCAGTTGAGCAGGCTTTGACAGCGGCCGGCCTTCAATTCAGCGATATCGAATCCATCGTGCTTCACGGTGGTGCTATCCGCACTCCGTTCGTCCAGAAGCAATTAGAAAACTTTGCTGGCTCCTCCAAGAAGATCAGAACAAATGTCAACGCTGATGAGGCAGCTGTGTTTGGTGCTGCCTTCAAGGGAGCTGCTCTGAGCCCTAGTTTCCGCGTTAAGGATATCCGCACCGGTGACGCCGCTGCGTATCCCATCTCGTTGAAGTGGAACTCAGACGGCAAGCAAAGAAACCAGAAGCTGTTTACCGCCACTTCCCAGGTTGGCCCTGAGAAGCAAGTCACCGTGAAAAATCTGGAAGATTTCGAATTTAGCTTTGCTCAGCATGTTACCCAGAATGAAGAACACCCTATCCTCAATGTCCAAACCCAGAACCTTACCGCATCGGTTGCCAAGCTCAAGGATACCTTTGGCTGCACCAATGCAAACATTACCACGAAATTCACGATCCGCCTTAGCCCTGTGGACGGCCTTCCCGAAGTTGTGGCCGGCACTGTCAGCTGCGAGGTGGAAGCCGAAAAGAAGGGCATTGTCGAAGATGTCAAGGACTTCTTCGGCCTCGGCAAGAAGGACGAGCAGGAGCCTCTGGGCGAAGATGGGGAGCCCCGTGAATCGATCACACTTGAGCCCGAGACGGAGTCATCCACTACATCCTCCGCGAGTGCCAAGACCACCACCACATCTAGCAAGGATACAAAGAAGGATGCAAAGAAGGATGCAAAGAAGGATGCAAAGGCCACCCCTCAAGTCAAGCTTGAAGTTATCCCGATCAGCCTGAAGTCCGTGGCCCTTGGCACTCCGGCGCCATCAGCCGCAGAGCTCAGTCGCATCAACAGCCGCCTACTTGCTTTCGATAATTCGGACCGTGAGCGAATCATGCGCGAAGAGGCTCTTAATGAATTGGAATCTTTCATCTACCGTAGTCGAGACCTCGCTGATAACGAGGAGTTCATCAGGGCAGTCAAGCCAGATCAACTGACTGTTCTTTCCGAGAGAGTCTCTAAGGCCAGCGACTGGCTGTACGAGGAGAGCGACAACGCTAAGACTGCTGATTTCCAGTCGAAGCTCAAGGAACTGAAGGCTATCGTCGACCCTGCACTGAAGCGGATGAAGGAGAGCTCTACTCGCCCAGCGCGCGTGCAGTTGCTCCAGGACATGCTCAAGAACGCCGAGTCCATGAAGGAATTGATCAAAAACCAGATTGAGAACGACGAGCAGCTCTACTCATCTTCCCTCTCATCCTCAAGCGCCTCCTCCACCTCCACTTCCACCGAGACCAGCTCGTCGACCCCAGCCCCAGACACTTCTGACGAAGGTGTCGATCTCGATGAAGACCCGTACTCTGCTTCTTCGTCTTCGACCACGTCTACTAAGAGTGCTGCCACTGCCAAGCCCACAGGCCCCAAGTATTCTCTCTTCACTCCTTCCGACCTCAGAGCTATCACCGAGGCCTACGAGTCCACCAACCCTTGGCTCGAGACACAGCTCAGTCTGCAAGAGAAGCTTGGCGAGTCTGATGACCCTGCTTTGACTGTTGTGGAGGTCGACTCGCGACTGCGCGAGTTCGAGCGCATTCTTAACCGCATGTACGAGAGGATGACTTCCGCCGCTGGCCAGCAGAAGAAGAGCAGCAGCAACGGTAAGAAGGGGTCGAAGGAAAAGAAGAAGTCTGAGGCCGATAAGGCCAAAGCCAAGGATCAGCCCAAGGAGAAAGAGGATCTTCCCAAAGATGAGCTGTAAAATAATCATCCCCTTGTTCCTTTACATTGTTTCTTCTTTTCCCACCGTTGAGCCGTACAGAGCATTTCATCATTTCATTTTAACGCAACCTATGTATCATGCACACACTACATCCTGGAAGATAGAAAAGAATCAAAATGGAGTTTGGGCTGAGCGTTAGCCGTTTTATCATCTTGTTTTCCCTCTGCTTTCTTTCACTACAAAGACACCAGCTTCACAGTCAATCACTCCATAGATTCCTCCCGAATTCTTTAAATTCAAAGATGCAAATCAAGTATTGCTGAAACTGTCATTCTTGGTCTTATCATCCTTCCATTCTATCGAATACCACTTCAACGGACTACACAGTATCAAGTGCATTAGCCCAGCCACAAACCATCTTTTCAGTCATCCTTGCCAGCACAGGCACCAAGACCGGCACCAAGGCCAGAACCAGCACCGAAGCCACCCCCAAAGCCACCCCCGAGGCCTCCGCCAATGGAACCGCCGCCACCGCCACCTCCGCTCAAGGCACCGCCCCCACCGTTGCCAAGTCCGCTACCAATATCTATTACGATGACTCAATTAGAAATGTTCCAACAAAATAAGCCACCGCAATGGCTGGTGACATACTGGTAGGAGCAGCAACAGCGGCCAGAGCCAGGCTGAATAGGGCGATGAGGAAGTTGGACTTCATTGTTTCAGATCGAGCTAATGTTGTAGCAATGACAGTAAATGATAAGCTCAATTGCAGCATGTAGCCAATGCGAGATAGGAGTAAGTCTCACCGAATGACTTTATAGCGAAGCTTTGTAGAAATGTATGGTTGGTGATATCTAGAACAGCGGGCGAATGCCTACGTTTTATACCTCGAGACTCGGCTTCAGTTTCCTTCAAAGAACAAGACCGATCAGCGATACTTCTCAGCTGAGATCGGAGATTGAGTGGATCTTTTCGGTATATTGCACTAAAAGCGTCCAGTCATTTTCGCTGTCGAGACGTCTGATTTAGAATTCGAGGTGGTCCTGGTCCTAGTGCATTGTAATTTTACCAGCCTAGAAATTGGGAACTGACGCTGCGTATCCGAGCAATGCTAGCTATGTGTGTTTGGGAGGTGCTGTTTATCTTCGATTACAATATATTCTCTAGCTCTGTAAACTGGGGCATATTTCGTTCTGTCTTGCTCTCTGGTTTATGTCCAGCTTTTTTGTAGCAAGCGAGAAGCTCGGAGTTACTATGGACAGTCCGCCTAGAGGCCTAGAAGAAACCATATAGGCTTTCAAATTTGTCTAGCTACTTTGCAAAGCCCTCGATCCGATCTGAGGTAAGATTATGCAACTTGTTCACTGTAACCTTGGAAGCATGGCCATTGTTCTGGATGAGAATATACAGCATAATGGATAGACAATTTCCCAGATTATAGACAGAATGGGATGCTGAAGTTTGTACATGAATTGGTCTCCATCGTAACTACCATTCAAGTAATTGTCTGAATAGACCACTATCGTTGGCGATTTACCCAATACCTCGTGAACTGTAGGCATTATTCCAATGATTCGAGACATAAAGTTGGACAACAGAACTGTGCAGCATGACAATGGCTAGTTAAGGATGACATTAAAATCCGACAGTCGGTCCACGTGATGGCAACTGCACCGGAAGTGTTTGCTCGCGATGATTTCGCTGATGCCTGATCTGATTGTCGCATAATTGGCGATTCTTCTGTTGTATGTGCTCAAACTACGGTAACCCTATGTGGGTAGAATTCTGGAAGCGATAAGAAGCCCGAGTACTCGGGAAAGAGACCCTACTGGCCGAATTCACCAACTGAGATAGAAGTCTGTCTAGGTGAGGTCTATCATAACAATCTAGTGGTGGATACCAAGCTTAACGGATATGTGTCGCTGGATAAAGAGAGTGTGTAGTTAGCTCTCTGTTACAACCGCCACAATTTGCTCCCATAGAAAATCCCGAGCTATCATTTTTATTTCTTCCATTTATTGCCCAATTATCACATTGCTGGTGTAACGGGTTAATTCTGTTCGAGTGGATCGAAGGTATTAGGGATATCCCATTTTGTTTTGCACCATGTAACTATCAATCTTTCTTTGACTATCTATGATTTTAGTAAGATGCTCAATATATACAGCTGCTAGACAATACCTTGCCAGTTTACCCTAAATAAGATACATTGACTATTGAAGGAGTCAAATATTCAATGAAGTATGTTGTCCCAATGCGGTAAGTAGGGCTGACCCACACTTGGCCCTGCCACGCTATACCTGATTAGTAAAGAAAAGTTCCTGAAGCTCAATCTTCTCCATCCAACCCCACCCATTACGAACGATACAAGATGGAGAAGCCAGATATCGTGGAGTCTCCGCGCAAGCGACAAAAGACAGAAGATGCAGGCCCGGCTGAGGTCGCTGTCATCGTTAATGACGCAATTGAGACCGCCAGCACCGCGGTCTCAGATGCGCAGGCTCTGAAGGAAGTTGAGGTTGGAATCACGGAGTTTGTGAGCAACGACACTGAGGGATTCTCAGGTATCCTGAAAAAGAGGTGAGCTATTTTGTTATTCTAATTCAGAATTCCGCTAATATTTATGCGCAGGTACACAGATTTCATGGTCAATGAGATCACGACCACCGGCGAAGTTGTTCACCTCCGAAGCATTGGTACGCCCAGCAAGCCCGCGTCTACTACGACAGAGCCTACTACGTCTGTGCCGAAACCCTCCGAGGTGGAAACCCAGGCTACGGAGAAAACTGAGGCTACCCCGGCCAAGAAGGTGGAAACACCAGCTGAGTTCAAGGTTTCGGAGGAGGATCACACTCTTCTAGAGGAATACTTTGGTCCTCAAAATGCGGCTGAAATAATCGCGCTCCACAAGGTCGCTATGGCTAAGCCAAAGGGTCGGCCGAGTGAATTTGGACAAGTCACTGTCGCCGTGTCTGACCGCGACCTTCGCACTAAGATGCACCAGGCCATCCGTCGCATTTTCAACTCTCAGCTAGAGTCTAGTACCGACGCAGAGGGAAATTTGTCAATCACCGCGGCGAATAATCGTTTCAAGCGCGGTGCGACAGGAGAACTATCCAACGGCCGGGCCCACGGCCACCGAACAAACTGGGAAGAACTCGGTGGGCAATACCTGCATTTCACCATCTACAAGGAGAACAAGGACACAATGGAAGTCATTGGCTTTATCTCCCGCTCGTTAAAGGTGAACCCCAAGTCTTTACAATTCGCTGGAACCAAGGATAGGCGGGGTGTGACCGCGCAGCGTGCCTGTGCTGTGCGCGTTCACGTCGACCGGCTTGCACGAGTGAACTCTGAACTTCGCAATGCTTTCATTGGAGACTTCGAGTATCGCAAGCAAGGCCTCGAACTTGGTGATTTGCAGGGCAATGAGTTCATTGTTACTCTGCGTGACGTTGAAATTCCCGGCGTGAGCCTGAGTGATCCTCAGGCTGCGATTTCCAAGGCATCCGAAGTCGTCGGTACATCCTTGAAGAACCTCTATCAACGAGGATACTTCAACTACTACGGTCTCCAGCGATTCGGAACTTTCGCAACCCGAACGGACACAATCGGTGTCAAGATGCTGCAGGGAGATTTCCAGGGCGCATGTGATGCTATTCTGCAGTATGCCCCTGAATCCCTTCAGGCGGCAATGGAGGGGAAAATGTCTACTGCTACCATTGGCACTGATGACAAAGATCGCGCCATGGCCATTAATATCTTCCAGACCGGCGGTAGCATCACTGACGCTCTGCAAAAAATGCCGCGCAAGTTCACCGCTGAAAACAATATACTCCGCCACCTCGGCAGGAATAAAAAGGATTATTTGGGTGCGCTGCAGTGTATCCCCCGGAACCTGCGACTGATGTATGTGCACGCATACCAGTCGCTTGTCTGGAACTTTGCTGCCAGTGAGCGCTGGCGACTTTACGGCGACCGTGTGGTGGAAGGTGATCTCGTCATTATCCAAGAGCACCGCGAGAAGGAATCTGACTCAGCTGTCGAGGCTGCTGAGACTGTCGATGCTGACGGTGAAATTATTGTTGTTCCTCAGGGCGAGGACAGTGCCGTTGCGGCCGAGGACATGTTCATGCGGGCGCGTGCCCTGACTGCCGAGGAGGCAGCCAGTGGCAAATATACCATCTTTGACTTGGTGCTTCCCCAGCCTGGATATGACATTATCTACCCCGAAAACGAAATGAAGGAATTCTATCGTCGCTTCATGCAAAGCGAACAAGGTGGTGGCCTTGACCCGTCCAACATGCGTCGCAAGTGGAAGGACATCAGCCTTAGCGGCGGCTACCGCAAGGTTTTCAGCCGCATGGTGGGAGATAACTACTCTTTCGACGTGAAGCTTTATTCCAAGGACGATGAACAGTTCGTTAAGACAGATATGCAGAAGTTGAAGCCTGAGGATAAGAATGCCAATGCCACCATGACCGATGAGACCGCTGCTGATAAGATGGCTGTTGTCCTGAAATTCCAACTGGGTTCAAGCCAGTATGCCACCATGGCTCTTCGTGAATTGACACACGGAAAGGCCACAGCCCACAAGCCTGACTACGGTGGTGGAAGATAATCGGGATACGAATCAGCGCCGACTGTACTTGATTTTGAACCTCAAAATGCCCGCTACTGTGACTACTGTGGCCAGGATATCATTCCAGTCGTCTTCATGTACATAGTCTGAAATACACAATTTGTAGCTTATTACAATGAAACCCTTCAAAAAGAACAGTCTTACTGAACTCATCAAAACGCCAGAGCACCAAAAGAAAACCAGGTAATAGAAGCCCTAGACCAAGCTCAGCTTCATTATATCATATCATCTTACTGACACCCTCAAACCCCCCGAAACCGCCTCCTTTCCTGCTCGCCTATTGGTGACACCTCATCAAAAGACGACACCACGGAATGCTCATCGAAGTCTCTCTCCCTTCTCCGGCCATCCAGATCTGACACATCGGAAACAGCATCATCATACTCATCATCCGAACCACCTCGAGCAATACCAATACCAACCTCATCATCCGAAAAATCCTCAAACGGCATCCTAGCCAACCGGGACGGCCCCCTCGACGACGCAACCGACGCAACCCGACCCCTGAAATCCTGCTCTGTAGCACTCCGTCTCTGATCCATCGGAACCGCAACCGCAACCCCAAGCTCTGCCACAGAGTCATTAGGTCCATGAGCCATAGACATGCGGCGCAAGGAGGCTCCAGAACTAGGACCGGGACTGGGCGTTCGGCCCCGACTTTCAGTCGAGGGCGAGATGCTGATAATCGGGATTCGGGGGACAGGCATGGGCATAGACATGGCTGGTGTGGACATTGCCGGTGCGGAGAATGGACGTCTTGGTTCTGGAGTCGAGGATTTCGGCGATATCATTAGCTCCTGTGTTGATACTGCACTTCGATGGCCTGTTGCTATATCATATGATGGCGGCAGGGCATTGCGTTCTTTTTGGCGGCGCCGTCGGCGGGAGAGGAAGAATATGAGCGCTAGGATTAGCGCTAGGCCGATTATTGAGACTGGGACTGCTATGGCGATCTTTGTTGTTTTTGATGGGCCGCCGGAGAAAGTGGTTGAATCGCTAGTTGCTGAGGTTGTTGAGGAGGTTGAGGAGGTTGAGGTTATGGCTGTTGAGGAGGCTGTTTGGGTGGATTCGAGAGAGGGTGGGTTCGAATTTGAAGGTGTGGTTGAGGGTGTTGGTGATGGGTAATATGAACTCGTTACATCTAGTTGGCTGGTTGATATTGGACCGGCTTCTGGTGCACTGATATCCTTGAGAGTCGATGTCCCAGTTGGTGCTGAGAATGTGGTCAACTCGCTGACAGAGGGCCATGAATCCGATCCACTAGGAAGTATGCTTGACACTGTCACCGCTGCATCTCCCAAGCTTGACGTTTCTGGTACAATATTCTTGTTCTGCTCGCGGGCTGTCATCGTGAGCACCGCATCTTGGCCTGCTGTTGCCACTGGCGATGTCCCAATATATATCGATTTACTGGAATCTGGGGTATCTGCATCGCCAAGTGCAGGACCCAACATTGCGAATGGCAAGAATCTCATAGCAGGTATGGTGGGCTGAAATCTTTCTTGGGGCACTTTCGTCTTATGTGAAGGACCCAAAGCGAACTCTGGAAGACAAAGAACCGCCACGAAAGATGGTACGAAAGACACTGGCGCTAGGCTTTCTCCATTAAATGCCGTTTTAGGTAACTGCTTGATGCCTTTGTATAAAGTATTTAAATATGTCCAGATTCACGAGCAGAGAGGTTGGAAGGACAGAATACGAAATTCGAAAAGATTGGGAAGAATAAAAGTGACCATTCACAGATAATGTATAACAGCCCAACCGCCCTAGGGTGGGGGTTGAAGCACTGCCCTCAAGATGAGACGGTCTAACAAAGAAGCGCTTCGATATGCACTAGACTCGGCGTCAATGAAAAACTTCACACAAGTATGCTTTGAACACATTCTCAAAGGAATTATCAAAATGATTATTTGAGACGTCTATACTCTATACTCCGTACAAATTGAAAACTTCAAGTATGAGGCTCGATGCTATTTTTACAACGTTCGCGCTAATATGGGGCCACGTAGGATCAACACGAGCCCTAACTATTTTCTGTTTAGTGGCTAGGCGGGGAAGTTCGTATGGGAGATTTTTTTTTATTTTGGATTGCTTTGACGCTGACAGTTACAAGTAAAGAGCCAATAGTGAGTGGCCATATTTGACAAGGATTCATTTTAAAAAGAATACTTCCACTTTCTACTTCCGGGATACATAAAATTATGCAAGTGTGCTATGGACTCTTCGTACTCGATATTATAACATACTAATACGAATTGCCCATAGTAGTCGGGAGAACTAAAATTAGATACGCAAGAATATATATATAATTTCGAAGATATACGATAATTTATTCTACAAGAATACTCCATAAGCAGCCTTGTGATATCTTTTGCGCTCTTTAATAGTCTTCTCAGATATCATTCTGACGTTTTAGATGCCTTGTCAGTTTATAGGTCGACGGTAAAAAAGGAAATCCATATAACCGACTAACCCTAAATGAGATATGTTAGCGGTCGCATAAAACAAATATCAAGCTGTATTGATCCATATTCCTAATATATAAGTTCGTCAGGATGTCTCACTAGAGTTTACATTGGACATTTTATGCACATTCACCATGAAAATAATCCTATGGGAGGTCTGTATTGTTGTGATGGGTATGGAGTAGATCATAGGGTTTAGTGACTCGCGCTAAGCCCAGCCCGTGTCAGTAACCTCTTCTATTCTCGTCTAGCTTTATAGCTTTATAGCTTTTCACCTAGATAGTAACCGTATTGCCTACTATTGTCCCTGGGAGTCCAGGTCTAAAGATGTATTCCTGAGATTTGTGCCTAAGGTTTCAGGCCAGTAGATTAGAGCTTCCTGGCCGAGATATGAGGTAACTATGATGATGTAACAGGAATGATTGTACGGTTCTTCGAATAGTGAAAGTCGTAGAATCCGGGGCCTGGAAAGCTAAGATGAGTAATGTTCCGTTTCTGGTAATCCAACCTTGGAATGTTGTAGGCTTCTTCGAATCCACCCAGGTCATGCCCAGACTGCCCAGACTGTGAGGACCACAAATGGGTCTTCAGATTTTAATGTGAACTTAAGTGCTGGCATTCCCTCTTCAACATTGTCAATCTTGTAAGCTACAAGATTTGAAGATAAACACCTAGTATGGCCGGTGGCTTCCTCCCATACCACGAACCCGGAAGTATGTACCCAAGCATATCCTAATCGACCTCTGCTCATTTCCTCACTGATCAATTATTGCAGCTGTCGATATCCTCATCATCGTTTCTTTCTTCTTTTTCCTTTCCCTTGCAAAATGGGTCTCGGCGAAGGTAATCCAGGCCGGAATTATAGGCCAAATCGCCGTCGGCATCATCTACGGTGTACCGTTGGCCAATTTCCTTGAACATAAATGGCAAGAGACGTTTTCCGTTCTTGGATATGTCGGTCTGATTTTGATCATTTTCGAAGGTGTGAAAATGTTTTCATTGCTTGGCTCCTTGGCTTCTTCTTTACTGATGTCATCAATCTCTAGGCGGTCTTGGCACCCGTGTTGATCTTCTTAAACAGAATTTCACTTTGAGTATGATTGGAGCGGCGACTGGAGTTTTATTCCCCATTGGTCTTTCGTACCTGTTGCTATATCTTGGCTTTGGATATGGTTGGTTTTCTATGCCCAATTATTACAGTAAAAAAAAAAAAGAACTAACATGGGCCAGGTGCGGTTGAGACCTTCATCATCGGCGCATCTCTTTCCGCTACTTCACTTGGTAATTTATTTCCACTTGATACGCACGTTTCAATTGCTGATGAAAATCAGGGACAACCTTTGCTGTGATCAGCTCTGCGTCTGGCTCGGTCAATCTCGCCGAGACCCGAGTAGGGTCAGTGCTAGTGAGCGCTGCTGTCATCGATGATGTTGTAGGACTTGTTATGTTAAGGTGTGTCATTTATTTGAACTGGGGAGTGGTTCATCAAGCTGACTAGCTGCATAGTGTTATTGCCGACTTGGGTAAAACTTCAGAAGGGGGAAATGTCAATCTGGGTTGGCTTATTGGGCGTCCCATAGTGGCATCCATCGCCATGGCCATTGTAACACCCATCGTTACCAAATGGGTCTTTGCGCCTTTTTTCCGAACGTTCATTGAATACCACTTTGCGCGATTCGACCACATCTCTAACATCATTCTCATGACACTTGTTCTTTCGGCATTTGTTGCCATCGCTGGCTTTGCTGGTACATCTGTCCTGTTTGGTGCCTTTCTGGCGGGCGCATTTATCTCATACCTACCGAGCAAGCATCCCGAAGGACCATTCGTTGTGATGAGTCGTGAGGAAGGTGAGCGCGAGGCAGATAAAAGTCCCACTTTTATCCATACCTTTGAAAAGTATCTGTTAGGACCTCAACAGTATTTGATGGAGCCTCTGTTCTTTGCAAGTATCGGATTCGCGATTCCATTCGTGCAGCTGTGGACGGGGGGACGAATTTGGAGAGGTGTGGTTTACACGCTTCTCATGGCATTTGCAAAGGTATACAGATACCCCTAAATTATGTTCTCGGCTTTAAGTTAACACATTCCGTTTAGTGTATCGTTGGGATCTGGATCCCCATATGGCAAGTTGCTGGTGTGAGCAAATCCAAAAAGGAGTCACATGAAAAGCAGAAGGAAAAGAGACAACCAAAGAACGAAAGCAACAGCACTAGCGACGAAGAACGAGGTTCGCAAGAGAAGGGAAATCGGTGGAACCGGGCCTGGCTCGCCGCAGCACTTTTAGGATCTGCCATGGTAGCACGCGGTGAGATTGGGCTATTGATCATCGAAATTGGGCACAACGAAACTCCATACGTTAGTGATGAAGGTTTCTTCACTGGCGTCTGGGCCATTCTTTTGAATACCATCATTGGCCCAATCACTGTCGGCCTGCTAGTTCGATTCTACGCGCAAAAGATTGAAGAAGGGGAATGGGGAGTGCAGGATAATTCCTTACCTGTGTCGAATCATGCTGAGGGACACGGGGCGGTATAGACATTTTGTGTGAAGATTGCATGTTTGGGGAAGTGAGATGGCTGTATATAGCATGGATGCGTTATGGGAGAGCATGGCAATTCTGCTTGGTATATCTGACTGATAAGCTGAGTACCATGAACAATTGAGAACAAACGTTTTGAGGTTGAGGAATTTCACGAGCAATGTATAAATTCAAACCTCTTGTGTACTATTTATATCGTGAAAGTGTCAATGTCAATCTTGTCTCTACATATATTGTGGCTTAGACAGCAAACGAGTCTATGTGGGCCTAAATGATACACTATATAACTAGGCAGCATAGATTTGAATATATTAGATATCTTTAAATAAAATTATTATTATAGCTCTTTGATCTTTTCCCTCCATATTGGTCTTGACTTGACTTAGTAAGCATCGGTAATTTCCAAGGTTGCGGCCCCCCGCATCTCTCAAGAAGGGAAGTCTGTTGTTCATTTTCCTATTTCAACTTCCCTCTCTGGCTTGGAACGATGGACATGGAGGGTAATATCCGTACTTCTATCGATCACTCTCATTCTACCCTGTCGCTACCTCGACCGGGAGGATATCAAACCACAGAAAAGCGAAGATTATTACTGATTTATATCCATGGATTCATGGGATCGGAAGCTAGCTTTCATGACCTTCCGCTGCATGTTCATGATCTGTTAACGGGCTCGCTGATGGAGTCGCACGTGGTGTACACCCGCATGTATCCCAGATACAAGTCTCAAGGCGAAATACAAACAGCTGTGAATCACTTCAGCACTTGGTATGTGATCCTGCCCCCGGGAATAACATTTTTCCTGGATTTCTAATTAGTTACATATGCTGATTGAGATACTTACAGGCTATCGCCACATGAGGCAGATGACCTGGATGTCATCTTGCTGGGACATAGTCTCGGTGGAATATTAGCTGCAGACGTTGCGCGTCTACAACAAGATGGGCAACCAAAGCATCGAATTTTGGGGGTAGTGGGATTTGATGTGCCCTTTCTGGGTATCCATCCCCGTGTAATACCGACAGGAACCATGGGCTCAATGCCCAAGAAAGACCCGGCAGCTGAAGAGAAGCTCGCAGGGGAACAAGAATCACTAGGCTTGAATCCAACCTTTAAACCCGCTCCTTCCAATCCCAACTTTGACCCCCCATTTATGAATGATGTGCGCCTAGTAGATCGTGGCTTCCTCAAGGGAATTATGCATTTTGTCAACAAGAACACCGACAATCTCTCACGATCTATCTTTGATCGCATCATGTCACCATTGAAATTCGCTGGTTGTGTCAATAATTACTCTGAACTTCGTCAGCGATACCGGCACTTGATGGAGCTAGAAGCTGATGAGTCCAGTCCCTGGAGAGTACGATTTGTCAATTACTATACCACGAGCACCGGCCGCAAACCGCGGAAGTCGAAGACGAAAGCTGAAAAGAAAGCTGAAAAGGCTGCAAAAGAAGAGAAAAAGGCCGCCAGGAAGATCGAAGCTGATATGGATAAATATGCAACGAAGGTACATCCGCAAGAATATTCAGAAACGCCAAGTTCCGAAGAAATCGAAGTAACCACTTCCATGAACGACATGGCATTAAAACGAAAGCCCTTGAAGACCGTCACTTCTAAGTCTTCCCTGGTAACCGAAAAGGCCAACGATGACAAGGATACTCCGCTGGCGGATGATACAAGTACTGCACCGTCTACCTCAGCCTCAGTCGACCAAATAGAGGAGTCCCTCTCAGGGAGCATTTCCCTCTCAACAGAGAGTGGCTCCGTCACAACCACAGAGTCTTCAGACCCCTCTAAACAACAACTTCGCAAGTTCATCCTCTTACCATCACACCATTGGAAATACAACGATAACGCCCATTGGGAGCCGATATTAATGGAGGACATGGACGAAGTCATAGCACATCAGTCTATGTTCATCCCACAGGGTGCAAACTACGATCACCTTGTCGGAAATAGCGTTGGGCTAATTGAGCAATGGATTGAGAACGATCTAACTCGACGATTCCTCCAAGAAAGCCTTGACTAAAGATGATACGTTAGTGATCCACTTTCCATTTTACAGCTTGTACATACACATTTTTAATAGGTTCATCTTTTTTTTCTTTCGCCGTAAGATAACCTCACTTCACCTATTAGGCAGTCTTGGAAAGCAGCCATCCGTCATTTTGCAGCTTCTGGAAAACACCATGGGGGTCGACTTCCTTCGCAACCGATCTGAGCTTGCTCAAATTCTCAGATCCATAGGCAGCCAATGGATCCTGGTCTCGCGAAGAATAGTTCGAATACTTGAAATCAAGATAGGTGCCATTCTTCTTCGCAACGAACTCAGCTTGGTCGATGATTTTACGGCTTGCTGCCAGCATAGTGGCCTCGTCCTCTGGGTGCGACCAGTCCACCATAACCAGGAGCCCTAGCCAAAGTCAATACCTAGCAGATTATTACAGTCCATATACGTACACTGCTGTGACTCGGGCTTTAGGCCTAGAGGATTGCCCCCTTGGTTATCGCAGGCCCTAGAAGCGCTGGAAGAAATAGGCTGAATGTTCATAATCAGACGAGCCCCGTGGACGCTTTTTACTGCTTCCAGTTGCTCAAGACGACATGATTCAATGGCGTTGTAGACATCCAAGTCAGGAAGACTTGTCATGACTCGCATATCATGGCTGGACCAGAAAGGGTTAGTGGGTGAGTCGGTTTAGACAAGGGGATAAGTAATACCTCTTAGGCTCAGTAGTGGTAAAATTTGCGAAGAGATTGACAACCTCAAAGACCGTGTATATTTTAGATGGAAGCACCCGGGTTAGACACTCGATCTTATCAAAGGTGTCGAAAACAGCTGGTTTGTGGTCAACCGTGCCAGCATAAAGGAAAATGAAGAGTGTGGCGTCTTCCATAAAGTGGCATATTAGATTAGCCTTGGGGTCCTTTTCGCTCGCTTTGTGGTAGTTCATGATAGATTTGAAGAGATTTGTATTTTCTCCTGGGGAGTAAATTAGACCTTCACACCATATATTGTTGGGAAGTGTTGACATGGTGACTTTCGTCACGACACCTATCGCCAACAATAGAAAATTAGAACCGAGAGATAAATTTGTTAATTGAATTGAGATAGCCTTACCAAAGTTAGGGCCTCCGCCTTTCAGGGCCCAGAAGAGGTCCTTGTTGCTGGTAGCGTTGACCTTGGCAACTGTCGAGTCTGCTAGAACAATCTTCGGTACAAAGTCAGCATTTCTAACCAGCATAAGAAAAGCCCATTCGCCATTTACCTCATATTCCACGACACCATGAGAGCTCAATCCACGCTCACTGTTCTGAAATGCCAGGCCTCCCCCCAGAAGCAAGCCAGCAACACCCACGGAAGGCTGACGTCCCCCAGTTACTGTGAGTCCATACTTTTCGAGAGCTTTATAGACATCAAACCAGGTTTGTCCGACTCCAATATCTGCTGTTAAGCGATCTTCGGAGAGGCTGACCGTGTTGAATCTCTTCATCAAGAGAACCATGCCGCCATTGTTACTTGTGAATCCTGGGTTGTGAAGATGGCCGCCGCTGCGGACGGAGAACTTGATGTCCAGAAATCGGCAGAGCGCGAGAACTTTGCCAACATCCCGAGGAGTCTGCGGTGTAACAATAATGCCAGGAGCCAGCTGACAGTTGGTAGACCTTGCGATGGGAAATTAGATGTGCGCAAGAGAGGACAATGAGATTCGGTACCAAGTTGTTTCATTCTGCGTCGAGAAATTGACATCGCTGTGTATTATGGCATCATCTCCAAAAATTGCTGGAAATATTCTCTCCGCTGTATTTAGGCGACAAGTTGCCTTGTCAGCGTCGCTCAGGGTAAGGAACTGGGTAAGTATTGTTTCAACATCGATAGTCGTTTCCGGAAGCTGAAGGATTTCTAAAAGATTCAAAATACCTGCCATGTCGAATACGTAGTAATGTAGTAATCAAATTTTTGGAGGGGCACTTTTTCCTAAGGATTTTGTGGGATAGTACCCGAGTACTCGAGATCGAGCGGCCGACAAACGACACTAGGTAGAATGACCGTCTTGGCTGGATAATGTGCATCCTGATTCGTGTGAACCCGGCAATTGTCCAGCACACAAAATCTGAAAGGATTTTTGGGCTCTAATGCATTGATTCGATCTCCATTTCATTTCTCCCCCCACATGGGCCAGGAGCACCAACCTCCCATTATCAGGCTATAAGTGTCCAGTTGTTGTGCGATGTTGAGTCAACAATCTAAGTGTTTAACAAAATAGAGCTGGAAGCATTACAGGATACTGTACATGATGGGTGTGACTACAGACACTCCATGAATACACACGTGGGTCGTCTAGGTTAGACTCCAGGTTTTGGACGCTGACTTCTGCACCTTTCGAGGGCAGTTCTCTTTCGTAACATCGTGGTCTGTCGTAGAAAGCGAAGTATCGGACGATTCGCACCCCGCATAATGCCCACTTAGTAGACCATGTGAATCTATGTACTCCGTACGGGGTACAATTGTAGTAATGCGGATCAATCTCACACGTGACCAAGTGGAGATATCGTCGTCACAGCTTCCCCAACCACTTCACAACATCCCCGCACTTCCGAGGTCTACGGCATACAGCATAATGAGTGGTTTACGCAATACCATAAAGGGTGGGTGGCACCCTGAAGGCAAGGATGGTGGAAAAGAGAGTTGGCGTGGTGATTTTAAAGGCGTTAACCAAGTGGTAAGCCCATCTATCGCCCTCAGGGACGCGCAACGCGGCTTATGATACTGACCTTTACTCGCTATTAGGCTGGGTGGATGGGAAAGGGCAAGGAAGGCGACTCCTCTAGCTCTGGACAGGGCTCCTCATCACAGGGGGGTATTAGAAGCTCCGTGGTAAGCTCTTCCCTCAAGACTCTCTCAGACTCGCAACTCAGGTGGCCATTGATGCTGACTCTTATACTTACTACTAGGCTGGGTTGATGGGAAAGGGCAAAGAAAGCGACTCCAACCGCCAGGGCTCATCACAGGGCGGTATCAGGGGCCAAGTGGTAAGTTAACCCTCCGTGTATTCACGACTCGGCCATTGGTGTTAATATTTGCTCGCTTCCAGGCTGGCTGGATGGGCAAGGGCAATGAATCCAACCCCAGCCGCTCCGATCATGTTTCACAGCCATTGTCGGCCCTGAAAGACCCATCTTCCTTTGGACCACCTCCCAAGCATATAAATTACCATGGAGCGGCCGCGGTGCCAAATCAGACAACACCAGACCGCCGGGGTTTGGGAGCTCCGCTATCTCAGGACCAAATAAACGCCCAGGAAGCCCATGGACGGGAAGTAGCGGAAGCAGAGGAGGAACAATTCCAAAAGCCTGCCCCACCTCCGGTCCCATATCGCGTCGACACAAGCGGCCTTTCTACAGACCATCTCCCTCCACCACCAGTACGGCGACTAGACTCGGCAAGTTCCGCCTCAAGCTCAATATCAAAGTCAAAACCACCGAAGCCCCCGCCTCGACTTCCTGCACGCAATGGATCCCCGAGCTCCGACGCCCCGCCTGCTTATTCCCCTGCACCTGTACTCTCCCACGATTATATCAATCAAGATGCTACGTCCCGCCTAGCCAACGCGGGAGTCTCGGTGCCTGGATTTGGAATCGGTCGTGAGAAATCTTCGTCGCCAGCACATACGCCTGTCAATGAGCTGCAGTCGCGCTTCTCCCGGATGAATACCTCGGGATCTCCATCAGAACCCACCCCGCCTGCTCAAGCCTCGACGAACATCGAACCGCAATCTGCGAGCAGCACGTCGTCTGTCCAGAACTTCCGCGAGCGCCACGCAGGTACCATCGACTCGGGGAAACAGAAGTATGGGGACTTCCGTGAGCGTCATGCAGATACCATCGATACAGGCAAACAGAAATACGGTGACTTCCGTGAGCGCCACGCGGATTCAATCGATTCAGGTAAACAGAAGTTGAGTGGTTACGCGTCGCGGTTCACTGGCTCCTCTCCAGCAGCGCCTACCCCACCAGCCCGGCCCACGTCTAATGCTTCTAGCATGAACTTGGAACCGGCCGAGCCCGCGCGGGGCTCATCATCTGTGCAAGATTTCCGTGAACGCCATGCCGACAAGATCGACATGGGTAAGGAGAAGTGGGGTGGGGTCACCTCGCGCTTTAACACATTTGTGGAGGACCGGAAGTTCTCCGCGGATGCCAACAAACGGATTCCACGCCCACCTCCTCGTCCCATCTCCACTGCCCAGTCGAACTCTCCAGTGGCATCACCCACAGAGCCCGATATTCAAACTCAAGCCCAACGCAAGAAGGCCCCTCCCCCACCTCCTAAACGGGCTGAATTTCGTGCGTCACCTGTTGACGCTTCATCGCCATCACTCTCAGGACCTCCACCCGTTCCCCATAGCACCAAGCCTCGTTAAGGACTGTACATTTAACCGTGTATTATGTTGTGCATTTCTGGCGTTGAGGGTTTCTCTTTACAGCATAAACAGGACGGAAATGAAACAATTTTGTCATAATGACGATATGTCCCGATCTAAGCTTTATGATGTACCCGTGGACTTTAGCTGTACGGGGTACGTCATACATAGTGTCCATACCATTGAGTCTCATATTTCGTTTGACGGTGAGACCGAGGCTGCATGTGATCCGAAATTTTTTTTTTATATCTGATTGCATATCCCCAACTTGTTGGGACGATTGTAGGTCAAAACTCCCAACAAGTAGCTGATCTCAGTGATCCCGCGATCCCTGCAAAATCACACTTTTTTTTGCTTTTTTTGATTTAACCTTCAAAAGTCAAACTTTAGTTCAAAGGTTCCGATGAACTTGGAACCTTGTTCAGCTGACTCAGCAGAAGTTTCCTCCCTGTAGGGCTGGTATAGGGCCTCTACAACCCTCCAAGGCAGAAATGTCCATATATTTAACCTGTTCAGAGTACTTATCTATACTACTTGTCCAGGTTTCCGGTTTCATGTTCTAAAGAATTGAGGAATTTGAAGTATTCCAACGCAGCATGATTCGCTTACGTTATCTTCCCCAACATCCAAGATAAATTGGAATTAAGAGACAAAGAATTCACATGTTGCATGCCTATTTCATACAAATACATTGTACAACATACGATCTTCAAAGGGCCTGTTAGCAAGTGGCGATACTCCAGGGCTAACCTCGGCATGTTTCATGGCCAAGCCTTGGAATTCCCAACAAACTAAACGCGGGCGGTTCGAGATCGTCCAAGGTTGTTGAGAAATTTAGAGGACCAGGTTATTTGGGTCTCCACTGGACTTCAACGTCTTCTTTTTTTTTCCTTACCTTTTTTTCTTTAGAAATCGCATATATTTTCTCTTGTATTCTTTTTTTTTCTTTAGAAAAAAAATCACTCCTCTAGTGGACGCGTTGAATTGATTCCGCGTAGCTATCACCATGCACGACTTCAACGTGCCGACCAAATTTGGCCAGGCGATTGTTCGCATTGCCTTCCCTCCCGCCTCTCTCCTCGCCTTCCCTCCTCACGAACTTCCAGTGACCATCCCTGCGCCTCACGTCGACTCCCCAACATGGAAGCAGCCCTTCAACATCCCGACCGATCTCTACAACAAGGTGCTGGACGTCCGGCTGCCGATCACAATCGCCACTGTCTACGCGCTCACTGTGGTCCTAATCAATCGCATCAACAAGAGCCGCGGATATAAGCCATATGCGTTCAGCAACACCCGTTTGTTCAAGCTGTTCGTCGTTCTCCACAATGTCTTCCTAGCTGTGTACTCCGCATGGACCTTCGTTGGCATGTTCCTGGCATTCAGAAGCTCTTTCCCGGATAGCGACGATCCCCACGGACTGGTTGGACTTGTAGACTCCCTGTGCAAGATCAATGGACCCCGTGGTTACGGAAATGCCGCCATCTACAGTCCCATTACCAACGAGTGGTCGATTCCCAACCCTGCCTTCCACCTCACCAACGGCATGCCAGACCCCACTGATGCCGGCCGTCTGTGGAACCAGGGATTGGCCTACTTCGGCTGGTTCTTCTATCTCTCCAAGTTCTACGAGGTTGTGGACACCGCGATCATTCTGGCCAAGGGCAAGAAGAGCTCCACCCTACAGACCTACCACCACGCAGGAGCTATGATGTGCATGTGGGCTGGTATCCGCTACATGGCGGCTCCCATTTGGATCTTCTGCCTGGTTAACTCGGCCATTCACGCTATGATGGTAAGTTGGACAGTTGCATTGTGATTTGTTCGACCAAGTTACTAACTTCTTTCCTCGCTTTAGTACACCTACTACACCTTCACTGCTCTCCGCATTCGCGTCCCTAATGCCATCAAGCGCAGCTTGACCACCATGCAAATCACCCAGTTCGTCTTTGGAACCAACATGGCCGCCGCCTACTTATTCGTCCACTACACTATCCCCTACCCGTCCGGTAGTGCCGCCCTGCAGCAGCTGACCGATGCCGCTTCTGCCGCCGCTTCTGCCACTGCCGAGGTTGGTTCGATCTCCTGGTTGAAGAAGCTGGCATTCCGGGCTGCGGGCGCAGAAGGACTTGCTGAGAACGTGGGCACTTCTTTCCAAGCCGCCCCTGTCCAGCAATCCGGTTACTCTCAGCAGATGGTGACCTGTGCCGACACCACCGGACAGGCATTCGCTATCTGGCTCAATGTCTCCTACCTCCTTCCCCTCACCTACCTCTTCGCGCGCTTCTTCGTCCGCTCCTACCTGAACCGCAAGGACCCAGGAGTGAAGCAGCCAACACACATGGAGGCCGCTGAGAAGGCCGGTCTGGATGCTCTTAAGAGCCTGAGCCGCGAGATTCGCAAGGCTGCCATTGAGGGCGAGAACAGCGAGTTTACCACCGATGACGAAGTCATGAAGGCTCAGGCCCAGAAGATCGCTGACAAGGCCATTCCTGGCTCGCCGATCCGCACCCGCTCGGCTGCTGCCTCCAAGGCAAAGACTGCCTCGGCATCGGTTAGTCGGTCAGAGTCTGAAGAGGGCTTCGCCAAGGTCCCCGCCAAGAAGGGGGCCAAGAAGCAAAAGGTCGAGAAGGATCCTCCCTCCAGCAGCCCAACCACAAATGGCGAGAACCCATTCGGCGTATTGGATAACAATGCTTAAAATATCTTTTAGAGTGTTGGAATATTCCTATATCGCATACTTTTGGAGTTTTGGGTTTTAAAAAATGATTGGTTATGATAGCTCTTATGTTCGGGTTGGAAGTAATGCCAGCTCGGTATATCCGGGGAAATACATCCCGACTCTTGTCTTTCATAGACCAGACGGTTTTTTTTGGTTTTACAGCGTTCTATTCATAGCAGTTTGTGTAAGCATATATTATTTTGTATATTTTTTATTATCAAAACTCTTTATTATCCGTTTCCGAAGTAATCCCGGGGTGGGGGGGGGGGGGGACTTGTATATCCGGTGGGTTCTAGGATATAGTTCTATACAAGTCAAACACATGTAATCCCAAGAAGTAAACCTTGTAAGTCCCGAGATAGATCATATGGATTAGCCTAACTTTGTTTTCCTCCTTCGCCTACTATAGCAAAGAACCTTGGAAGCTACATAACATCTACTCGCATCTTTTTAGTGTGGGGTTTCTCCGTCTAAATAGAAATTCCACAAATCCAAATCGAGGAAGGGAAAATAAACATCCGCTTTGACAGTCGAACGTATTTACTTATTCAGTTGAGAAACATAAATGGCCAGTAATGCCCCCAATGTATTACAGTCAGTTTACGGCACAAGATGACGCGCTTCTTCAATTGTTTGCTAGCGCTAGCTTGTCTCGGAGCCGCAGCCAAAGCAAACGAAGCCACCACGCAATGGCCACTGCAAGATAACGGCCTCAACACCGTTGTACAATGGGACCACTACAGCTTCCAGGTAAATGGTCAACGTATCTTCATCTTCTCTGGTGAATTCCACTACTGGCGTATTCCCGTCCCAGCCCTATGGCGCGACATCCTCGAGAAAATAAAAGCAGCCGGTTTCACAGCTTTCGCCTTCTACACCAGCTGGGCATACCATGCACCGAACAACGCAACAGTGGACTTCACCACCGGGGCTCGTGATATCACCCCTATCTTCGAGCTCGCCAAGGAATTGGGTCTGTACATCATCGTTCGGCCCGGCCCGTACGTCAACGCTGAAGCCAATGCTGGCGGCTTCCCGTTGTGGCTGACTACGGGTGGGTACGGCACCCTCCGCAATGATGATGACCGATATACGAATGCCTGGACACCGTACTTTACCGAAGTGACGGAGATCACTAGCCGCTACCAAGTAACTGATGGCCATAACTCTATCGTGTATCAGATTGAGAATGAGTATGGGATGCAATGGCTGGGTGATCCTTCCTTGCGTGTACCGAATGAGACCGCCATTGCTTATATGGAACTGCTGAAGGCCAATGCCCGTGAGAATGGTATTACGCTACCGCTGACCGTAAATGATCCTAATATGAAAACACACTCGTGGGGGAAAGACTGGTCTGCTGGAACTGATGTGGGTGGAAATGTTGATGTCTCTGGTGTGGACTCGTATCCTTCGGTATGTGGTGTTTTACGTCTCCGATAGGGGGAGGGAGAGCAACAAAAGCTAACGACTTCGCGTATCAGTGTTGGACTTGCGATCTCAGCCAATGCACTTCCACCAATGGCCCATACATCCCCTTCCAGGTCCTGGAATACCATGATTACTTCCAAGAATCCCAGCCCAGGATGCCTGGTTTCATGCCCGAGTTTCAGGGCGGTTCGTACAATCCCTGGGGCGGACCTGAAGGTGGATGCCCCGAAGATATCGGCGATGACTTTGCCAACCTGTTCTACCGATGGAACATCGGGCAGCGTGTGACAGCAATGTCGTTGTACATGATGTTTGGTGGTCAAAATCCCGGTGCTATGGCTGCGCCAGTGACGGCTAGCAGCTATGACTACTCCGCGCCTATTTCAGAGGACCGGTCTATCTGGTCAAAGTACCATGAGACTAAACTGCTGGCATTGTTCACTCGCTCTGCCAGGGATCTGACTATGACTGAGTTGGTTGGTAATGGAACGCAATACACTGATAACTCTGCTGTGAGGGCTTATGAGCTCCGGAATCCGGAGACGAAAGCTGCCTTCTATCCTACTTTCCACACGAACACCTCCCTCTCCACGAATGAGCCGTTCCATTTAAAAGTTAATACTTCGGTCGGCGCCCTGACAGTCCCTAGATATGCCAATAATATTCGCTTGAACGGGCACCAGTCAAAGATCATTGTGACGGACTTCACCTTCGGCTCGAACACGCTGCTCTACTCCACGGCCGAGGTGTTGACATATACTGTCTTGGATAAGAAGGCTACACTGGTTCTCTGGGTTCCGACTGGCGAGTCTGGGGAGTTCTCTATCAAGGGAGCTAAGAAGGGTTCTATCAAGAAATGCCAGGGATGTTCGCGGGTCAAGTTCATCAAAGAACATGGCGGTCTGACGACCTCGTTCACGCAATCCACTGGCATGACTGTTCTGGAATACGATCACGGTGTTAGAGTTATCGTGCTTGATAGAAAGGCGGCGTATGACTTCTGGGCTCCTGCACTCACAAATGATCCATTCGTGCCGGAGACAGAGAGTGGTATGTTCTATCTATTATTCTCTCATGTTAAAAAGACTAATCATCGCTGCAGTTCTCGTCCAGGGTCCATATCTCGTTCGCAATGCTAAGCTGTCAGGCCAAACACTCACGTTAACCGGTGATGTCGTCAATGCAACTACACTGGATGTCTTTGCACCAAAAGGTGTCAAGTCTGTGACCTGGAATGGAAGGAAGGTCCAGACACATTCGACTGAGTACGGCAGTCTCAAAGGCTCGCTCAGTGCTCCAAAATCTATCAAGCTGCCGAGTTTGACTTCATGGAAATCGAAAGATAGTCTGCCAGAGCGGTTCACAGACTATGATGATTCCGGCGTGGCGTGGGTTGGTAAGTTACTCACTGTTATGAGCATCACGCGAGGAAAAGTAGCTGATATTGCAGATGCCAACCACATGACGACTCTAAACCCTCGAACCCCGACAAGTCTACCCGTCCTCTACGCTGACCAATACGGATTCCACAACGGCGTCCGTCTATGGCGCGGATACTTCAACGGAACAGCGACGGGAGCCTTCATCAACGTCCAAGGAGGATCTGCATTGTAAGTTTCACCACCATCACATTAACCACCATAAACCTGACCTACTCCTCACAGCGGCTGGTCCGCCTGGCTAAACGGCAAATTCCTCACTTCCTACCTCGGCAACGCCACTACATCCCAAGCAAACCTAACTCTGTCATTCACAAACGCAACCCTGCAAACCGAAAGGCCAAATGTTCTCCTAATAGTCCACGACGACACAGGACACGACCAAACAACTGGCGCCCTCAACCCGCGCGGCATCATGGACGCAAACCTCCTCGGCTCGGACTCGGGCTTTACACACTGGCGTCTAGCTGGCACCGCAGGCGGGGAGTCGGACCTGGACCCAGTTCGCGGCGTGTACAACGAGGATGGACTGTATGCCGAGCGGGTAGGATGGCATCTACCCGGCTTTGACGACTCAACCTGGGGAGAGGAGGTGTCCACCGAGGAGTCAACAAAGTCTGTTCTTAGCTTCAAGGGTGCGACGGTTCGCTTCTTCCGTACTACCATTCCCCTCTCTATCCCTGCACATACCGATGTTTCTATCTCATTTGTTCTTTCTACGCCAGCTGGTGCGACAACAAAATATCGTGCTCAGTTGTTTGTCAACGGATACCAGTATGGAAGGTATAACCCTTATATTGGAAATCAGGTTGTTTATCCTGTTCCTGTGGGAATTTTGGATTATACCGGGGAGAATACAATTGGAGTAACGGTTTGGGCGCAGAGTGAGGAAGGGGCTAGTATTGGCATCGACTGGCGGGTTAATTATGTTGCTGATAGTTCGTTGGATGTTGCTTCGATGGACACTAAGGATCTGAGGCCTGGATGGACTGAGAAGAGGGTGAAATTTGCTTGAATCCAGTTATAAACTGTGAAATTATTTACAACATAGATTTAGCATCTAGTCTACATAGTACTATCTTGCCCATAGCCAATCGGATAGACCTCGGTGTATCGGGGTCGATAAAAGTGCCATTATGATCGCCGCCAACCCTTAGCGACTCAGCCACTTTGAACTGAGACACGGGAGTAATAGCGTCATTTTTGGTGCTTGCTCACAACAAGACACAACAGGCAAGAGTTTCCCTGCCACTTGGAAGTCTAAAAGGAGAGCGAATGAAGCCCCATGTCACTCTAGTGATTAATGATTGTGGCATTGGAAGAGAAAGGCCATGAGTCTCCACAGCTTGGCCTCTGAGATTATCTCCATGGCATGATTTGCTTTAAAAACTTGATTCCGCCAGTCATCAGGCCAACAGAGCAACACCCTACAATTTAATTAAGCTCCCTGGATTCCCAACCGATCAATACTATTTGAAACATAGTGGTTTCCCTACTACAAGGTCGTGCCGGTCCGGAGTATGATTGTCCTGTGAGAATGGAGTTCCGGATCGTAATCTCCTAATCCTGATATCATATTGTTGAGTCACTACCATGCCCTTGCGGGCACTCTAGTCTAATCAGATATGAAAATCTCCTGTGTGCCTTCGTGGATAAGATCGGTGACAGGGTGAGACCTCACTATGCTCCATGACTCAACTTGAAGGCCCAGTTAGATAGATCATTACCTGGAAATGAGTTCCTTTGTCCACCGACATTGCCCTATGAGCAGGAAGCAAACAAATGTACTTACTAATTGGGCTGCCTGGCCCCCGGGGCCGACTTTCGACCACGTCACCTGTTCGCCTAACACTGGTCTTGACTGTATAAAGAAGCAGGCTCTCAGGCTAAGCGCTGAGATCCAGCACCGAACCTCACGCCACTGCTCAGCACGAGAGTCTTGAGTTTCAAAGGTACGAAATCCCCTTTCTCCCATCTTTCTTCCTTAATCAGCCCTCTTTTGCGCCTCGTCTTCCCTTTCTTTTTTACCTCTCTTGGGCTAATTAGACCACTCTATAAGGTCATCACCTGATCCAACTCCAACATGAAACCCCTAACCTACCTCTCCCTCCTCCTCGGCATCTCTGCAACCACCGCCCTCGCCGCACTCGGCCCAGACGCAACCCCCGACGAGGTCGCCGCGGCGGAAGCTGAGTGCGGATCCCTGGGCGTGATGAGGATCGACCCAGCAGACCTACCAGAGGGCATTACGATGGATGATGTCCGCATGTGCGCCGACCACCCGCTCGGCCCCGGGGCGTACCCAGATCTGGGTCCTGGTGTTGTCAACAGGATCCGTCGGTTCTTGCCGAGTTGGGTATTTTAAGAGGACGGTCCAGGAGCTAGATCAAACCTTATAAATAGCCCAACATGCAAGCTTCTTCTACTCACGCGAATCATTTTGTGATATTTTCGATATCAACGTGTATCTCTCACAGATCCTAGTCCAGCAGACCTACTATAGCCAGATGTCCGTCGAAAATAAGAAAGTTATTATCATGGACCAAATCCGTTGATTATTCCTGCATGAAGCCAAATCCAAACTAATTCAATTCTTAAACTAAGAAGCGGAAACCACGACGACTTCCTTCGCCAGGGACAGCACCCTCGACCTCCTCGCCTCGATCGAGCTTCTTATTCAAACGTACGAGCATAAACCGTAGTACCGTTGCAGAGACAATGGCGATGAAAGCTGTTGCGCAGTTGACAGCCATGGCGGGAACTGTATGGTGATTAGTTCGGAATTCCAGAAACAAAACCATCGATAGAGAAACACGTACCAAATCTTGGAGCGTGGGAATTAGGATACATATAGCTAGCATAGATACTGCTGGCATTACTAACACAGTTAATAGCAGCCAGAGCAGCGGCACGCTTCGCAGCCGGACGAGGAAGGGTATTTGAGATCCACCCGAGGGCAACAACATAACCGGAGTAAAAAGATGGCACCATGAGCATCATCGCCACGTAGCGGGGGGCAGTAGCTGTAGTAGTAGCCGCAATGATGAATGCCACGACGGAAATATATAGCGGTGCGGTGATATGGAAGTACCGCTCTCCTGTACGGTCTGCATGCCATGCGTTGGCAAAGGCGCAGATAACGGCCAGACAGTAAGGTGGGGCTGTCAATAGAAGAGTCTCGATATTGCCGAATTGAAGTGTTTTGACGACTGTCGGGAAGAAGTTGGTGACTGAGGCGGAGGAGACAATACAAAGGATCATGAGCATCAGGACCCAGGTCTTAATGTCTGCGAATGCTAGTTTGGCTCCATGTAGGAAGGTCTGGTGCTCGCTATCGACCCAGTCGTCTTCACCAATGTCTTCTTCCAAACGCCACACGGCTAGTTGCTTCTCTTCCTCAGAAAGCCAGCTAGTGGTGCGAGGGAAATTGGGAAGAACGAAAACCGCGATAAAAGCAATCGCTATGGTGACAGCACCCTCGATGATGAATAACCATCGCCAGGCGCGCATTCCTAGCACGCTGTCCATGTTGCTAGTAATACCTGCTGCGATCAGACCCGAGAAAGCACCCGAGAGTAAGGATCCAGAGTACAGCGCTGCAGTGCGGAAGCCCAGCTCCTTGCGGGTGTACCAAACACTTAGGAAGTATAAACAGCCTGGGAAGTAGGCGGCCTCAACGAAACCTAGAAAGAAGCGGATGACCACGAGGCCGGCGTAGCTTTGAGCAGCCGCTGTAGCGGTGGAAATGACACCCCAGAGAACCATCGCCACCGGGAGGTAGATGGCTGGCTTGCCGAATTTGTTTAACATAAGGTTGGACGGGATCTGCATCAACAAATAACCGACGAATAATATGCTGACGCAGGTCGCGAACTGGTTGCCCACAAGACCTAGGTCTTCCTCAAGGCCTGCTAGTCGAGCAGAGGCGATATTGTTTCTATCGAGATAGTTGAGGATATACATGATGATTATCATGGGTAGTAGACGGATGTCAATTTTGCGGACGAGGGCTTTCTCGACTTTTGCGCGTTCTTCGGGTGTCAGACTGGCAACGTAGGCCGGTGCTTCTTTCTGAGCATTGGGTCTGTCAGAATTGGCGACTACCTCGACATTGTCGGTGCCAGGCTTGTCGATATCTCCCACTTGGATGTCTGAGTTTCTGGGAGACATGTTGGTCTGATTTCCCAGTATGAGAAAGGCAGGAACTATAGGAAGATGAAGGATAGAGATAAGTATAGTACACTAGCTCACTCAATATAGGAATATAAGTCAAAGTCGATAAGATAGAAGATACCAGAGGGAGCAAGGGGTATAAGAAGGGGGAGAAAGATAAGCATGGAGAGTAAGACTCGGCGGCAAGTCGGGATGTTCTTTCCTTCTACAAGGGTTGAGATATGTGGCGTGAGAGTAGTATGACAGGAGTATCCGGAACTTAGGCTGGAACTGTTATATATCCACCAAATATAATCCCCTCGCGGGGTGAAAAAGATGGGAAAATGTCAGACCCCGGATCCCGATCATTCGGTCACGGGCCTTTTGCGGGGATTCAAGTGACATTGACAGGATTGACAAGGGGATATGGTTACATAGAGAAAAGATCATCTCCCCGCGTGGGGGATGCTTCTCGTATTCAAGCTTATTTAAGGGCTAACCTAATATAGATGATAACCCGGTCACCGTGGGGGTGATAGTTCATTATATTGCGTTCTTTTCATTCCAGAGAAGAATATATAAGTGATTCTTGGGTTATTATATCAATATCATCACATTCATTCTCACCGAACACAGAATTCAGGCCTAGATCTGTCTATATTAGCTGAACGTCTAACTCTGATTCAGTACATTCTACGTTCTACGCATTTTAGTAGAAATATGCTGTTCCTCTTATAATATAACAAATCTTTAAGTCCCAAGATTCCTTATCCTAGATTCTGATCCCGAGTTTCTCGGTTTCCCGGTTCCTTTTCTTCAGGGATTGTTCATAGAAATGACATTCCGGCATGAGAGAATGTAGAGAAAAGGGTAGTGATAGGAAGAATGCTATCTCATTTAATGGTAGCCAAGACCAGGAATTTAACTACAGTCTATAGAGAATTACACTTCGATTTTAAACTTATTTAGAGTACACAGTATACTACAGTTGAAACCTGTTATGAAGTAGACTTGCTGGGTCAGGTGCTAACATATATTTCCACTTCTAGTAATTACTTTCGAGGGCTTGAGGTACTTCATGTCCTAAAAGCATGATATTTCGAGTGGTTGGATAACCTGACAGTTTAGAAACATATTCCGGAATGCCGAGGATCGAAATTATCGTCTAGTTCTTACTGGTAGATACTGATACTAGTACAACATACTACTACCAAGGTTATCTATGTGGCGGACAGTAACAGTAGGATAGCTAGGAACATAAATGGAATATGTGCAGCTGACGAGAACCGTCCATTAAACACAGTTACACAATACAGAGATACAAAAGACATATCAGAGATGGAACAAGGCTTAGACATTGGATTCGGAGCTTAGTGAGTGATAGATATGAAAAGGGCCTAGTGATGACCATGAGGAACGATGTGCTAAAAGGACAGGAGAATAAAGAGTGAAAATGGAAATAAAATGAAAGAAACAGTCCAGTAACCCACGCTCCCAATACTCAATGACAATGACTCAGATGCACACAATGCAGAAAAGACAGAACAGAACTGGAAAAAAAATTGACGGCAGAGAACAAGTGACTATGCACCGCCACACCGATTAGATGGTAGGAGGAACAATCATTAGATCAACGCCTAAGACAAGATCCTGATGAGAGGGGAACATCTTAGGATTTGGATGGACGCTATGCTAGAGACCACCGTTTTTGTGTTGGTGGAATATCCACCAGAAGTACCATTGTATTGGTCAAATCGCTCTGAAGAGGGTATACCAATCCATAGAATCAATTAAGATCCGGACAGCATAGCTTCTATTCACGCGATAAAATCATCAAACACCTTATTTCGCCGGAATTGATGCATGTCTAGACAAGAAGGCAGGCTCGGTGGATAGATCCCTGACCATGGCCAGGTTTAGCTCACCGAGCGATGCTAGAGACTCCCGCCCAAAACTTAAATGAAGTGTGTGTAGATCTTGGAATTCTCATGAACTTCCATTTCCTATATTGTTGTTAATAATGGCACAATGGAAAGAATAGAACAATGCAAGGCAACTCACCATCTTAAAGTTATTGATCTCCTCCCGGATCTGCTGAGCAAGCAGGGGGGTGAGACGGTTGCAAGTTGCAATTTCTCCACGTCGGTCATACTCGCCACTAGGCCAGGTTTCGTGGAACTGAATGCGAGGACTGAAGACAATATTCCTACCTACAGCGGAAGGGGTGATGGGTGCACTCTTCGCTTCAGAAGACGAGAACCGCCCTGCGCTCGACAGGAAGTAGTCCTCGCCGGCAATCTTCACCGGATCATTTTGGGCGGGAGACTTGGACGATTCATCGGGTGTAGGGGGAGCACTGGAATGCGGCGAGTCACCACCGGCAAATGCATATGCAGGCGAAGAGGTACCGAGGTCCGAGTGAGTTTCTAATAAGATCAGTCAGTATGCCAAAACGTCAAGTGTATTGTGTGGAGATACGCACTCTTCAAGATACCCTTCCGGACGGCCGCCAGAATCTCCGCCCGCTCTCGGTCTCCTCCCACGATGCTTTTACGCGACTGGGAATTTTCCGATGCGGCTCTTTCCCGAATGGAAACGGATCGTCTGACATCCGCATTGCCCTCGAACTTGGGGAAGACAGTACCCCCGCGGGGCAAATCTGCAGGGTCGGGGTTAACAGCGACATTCTCCCGTTCCGCCTCCACGTTCACCACAGTGATCTGTGGGGGTGAAACTTCGGGGCCCGCACCCTCCATGGAATTGATGCTCGCCACCGATTTGGGACGGAACATGCCAACCAATGAGCGAGTGGAGCGCTTCACACCCTTGCCCATCTTGCGAAGCATCATCGACGCCGATGAAGCGGTGGATGATACAGACAGGTTGTCGGTGGACCCGGTAAAGAAGTGGCCCTGATGGGAATAGATGCTTTCACCTAGTCCGCTCAGTTCCTGCTGCTCAGCAATGGCGGCCTGTTCTGGGCCCAGCTGTTCCCTCAGAGCTTCACGGCGCGCCTGTTCCGCAGCCAAAGCTTCCCGCTTGGCAGCATTGCTTTGTGCAGAAGTCTTCAGGAGCTCAGAGGCGCTGCCGAACGAGAAGGCCCGTCTCAAGCGCGACTTCCCGGGGCGCTTCGTTTCATTTTTCAAATCGGTGAGACGTTTCGCGGCGGGGGAATCCAGTGTAGGCGGTGTTGCCTTCTTCTGAGTTTCGGCTGGAGGATTGGTTTTAGGGGCTTCGGGTTGTGTCGATACCGGTTGGGATAATGGCGATGGCTTGCCAGTACGTTTTTCTTCTGGCTTGCCGGTCTTGCTAGTGACAGAGTTGGATTCTGGTGGCGTCCCTTCTCGTGCCTGTGAAATAGATACTGTTAGCTCTGCATTATTTTTATGAGTCAATGTAGAATGATCCTACCGAGGAGGCTGACGAGTGTGTCGAGTGAACGCTACCTACGCTGTCCCGCTGGGAGTGAGCGGAAGCAGGCCGTTGATTGGTATCGAATGTGATGAAGTCGTACGAGCCCGATTGAGATTGAGAAGTCGAGGTCGGGAAATCTAGTGACAGATTGGGGTACGCCGTAGCATCCATGTTGCCTAGGCTTCGTCGTCGATATCGCTCAGGTTGGACCCTTTCGAGATGAGATGAATCGTCCACACTTGAGACCCGGTTGTGAGCGTTCGTTCGAGCTGGCCGAGGGCCACCGAAATCATCGACAATCACGGTCGGAATCGGAGAAGCCGCAGGAGATGATGGAGCGGCAGCGGCTTCCGCTCGTTGAGGGGTACGACGGTACCGATTTGGGGAGGGTTTCGGGGAGGAAGTGTTGATAGAGGGGGAGGGAAGGTTGGCTGTAGACAAGGGACGGAGCGGCTGGTCGCTCCTGGGTTGTCGTGAGGGAAGTGCGCTGTCGTCCTTGGAAACATAGGAACGGGGTGAAGAGGAATTGGATACAGAACCAGCTGCAAGATGGGGGGATCGGGGGCTGGCACCGGTGTATGTCGGATTCACCGGCACTTGAGCTGTAGTAGGTGCGGAAAAGGTGCGATGTTCTGGTCGAAGATGTGGTGTCCAAGACTGCCGATTTTGGGTGGATTGACCCATGTTTGGGTTGTAGGCATAAGGAGCCACAACCGGGTGGCCCGCTCGATAACTCCCGGAATTACCAGTATTGAATGATGTCCAAGACATAGTCTGAATACGAGAGCCTTGATTCTGTGGAGAAGAGAAGGTGCCTGATGAGGATGAAGGACGCGTCTGAAGCACAGGTACCGTGCCACTCTGTTGCGGAATTGTTTGAACCAACGCAGCCATATTGTTCTCTCCAGCAAATTGTTCAAAAGGATAAGAATCACGAGTGTCCAGGGTCGTGATCTAAGGCAACTCGCAAAAAAAAATAATAATAGATAGAAAGCCCGAGTTGTGTTCGCGTCAAATAGGGATCCGAGGAACGAAAGGGGATGCTGTGACCAAGGAGCTGTCAGCTATCCATCACAAGTCAAATAAGACTCTCACGTTGTTCAATGTATGAAAGGTGGAGTTTGTAAGGAAAGGGGGCGTGCTTTGCTTTTTTTTTCCCTTTGCTGTGCACGTTGGGTGATAAGGGACCGCGTCAGCCAGGGGGTAACCATACCTGTTCTAAGTAACGTGGACATAGACTATAGTGGTACAACGATTAAAAAAAGTGACGCTCGATGCCAGAAGAAGGAAACTCGAAACCAGGCGAGTTGGAAGAAACGAAAGGAGGTTAAGGCAAAAAAAGGGAGATATCCCTAGGGATGATGAGACGTCTCTAGAATAGGAGAGCCATGTACAAGAAAAAAAAAAAAAACGAGAGAGAGTAAACCGAAAGAACCCCGTAACCTTCAAATGACAATGACACTATAATGTGCCTGTTCACTGAAGTGGGAAGAGAAAAAAGAAGGGAGAGGATGGAGGAAAGGAAAATAGGAGGGGGCGGAGAGATCACAGACACGGTAGACACGGGGTAGATTAGGTCCGCACTCCAAGAAATTGATGAAATTGGATGGAATTGGTGAAATTGATTCAAATTGAATCAAATTGGATTCAGATATCAAATAGTATGAAAAGTATGAAAAAGTATGAAAAAGTATGAAAATGAAATAGAGAAAAACTGTCAATTATGTTTATGCATCTCTTTGCATGATACAGGAGTACAACGTAATCTTTTCTCTACAACATACGTACTTAGGTACTATTATTTACTTACAAATCTACATAGCCTCTATTTAGTACATTCCTATAGAGAACTCTATATGTTATATTTCCTTTGGATATTTCCTTTCTTATCTACAACTACAACATACTTCAAGTTGTCCGAAGTAAAAGGGGGACCTCCAAATTTAGGTACCAATCATAGGGCTTCCCCTGATGCATCTTAAGACATTTCCATCCGAAGCCAGAATATTCCTCTAATACCAGCTCAAGGTTTTCTATACAAAAAAACAAGGTAAAAAGATTCTCGTAAGGTGTCTGAAACATCTTATAATCAGACCATATGAATCTTTCCAACTATGGTAAAAGTCCGAGCTGTTTCCATGGTAGTCCATTCAACCTAATCTCTATCCACATTTGGAATATCTACAACCTGGGAAGGTGTACGTATATCATTTTTCTACTGACTTCCTATATCCAAACATTTGGTCCTATCTTTACAGCTTATGCTTGCTATAGTAAAGATATTTAGAATGTCACATGGGTTATGGTTCAGCTTATTGACACAACGCCACTTTAGGGCTATTTTTTCCCCTGTTGACGGGATTACCATGTACGGAGTATAATGTGCTTATATGCAACCTTGGAACTTGATCCTTATCTTCATAAATTTCCGTATGTTGTACTCCGTATGTTGTACGTATAATTCGAAAGCTCCACGTCAAAACTGTCCCGCTTTCCCTCTCCACTTGCTGCAAACCACTCAATCCGTCGATCCACATTCCACAACACAACTTCCCGTGTGATCGGCAGGTGTTTCCGATATGCTCACTACATATTTCCAAATTTTTACTCCGTATGTTTATCAACTACAACATACACCTGTGGAGAATATGTGTACCTCCTTCTCCATACAGGTACCGAATTTTCCCGTCCTTGCAATTAGCGTGAATTTTTTTTAGATTGCATATGTTGTACTGAGGGGAAGGAGGCGCACCTGATACTGAAAACCTTCGATTAAGCATCCTGACACCCCCGTTTCATTTACCCCATGGCTCTGTGCACCGAAATCTAATCTCCCATCTCCTATTCAACGGGGAAATCCTCAATAATATGCACGGTGCTCTGTGGCTGATCAGGGGTAGCAATCCCGGTACAGGCTAAGGGGTGTCGCGAAACAAATGCGGAGAAGACAGGAATTCCACTTGTGGAGCTCAATATCCCTCTGATCATCACTCGAGTCGTTATTTTCTACTATGTTGTATGGAGTATTCCGTACTCTACTAGAGTATCCCGTATGTCTTTGTGGACTCACATCCAAATCCCGAGAATCCTATGGTCTGATGTTTTGGTGGATCAGTCCAGAGATAAAGATATTTGAAAGCTCATTCGTGCGGAGTATAGTTCATGCAATATGCGAATTACGAATATCTTGCCAAGTTAACATCCCCAAAAGGTCCCGTGCTTTGCACTTCCGTTGGTGCAAGTGCTAAGTTTTTAGTATGCATCCGGGGAAGCAGGTCGAACGCATTGACCAGTATAGTATTACATATTGTGTACCGTATTGATGAACTTCTTAGCCTATTTTGTTCAGATCCCTGAAATTGTGTCATTTACAATGCCTCATATGTCAGGCTTTCAACTTTCACTTGGGGTATAAAGTTCTATTTTATTTTGATATTGATCTTATGGATCTTCCAAGCTTATCCCCAGATATTTGAGGATAAATCTAGTTCCAATTAATAATCTTCGTCACCCGAAGCATCCATATCATCTTCATCGTCAATTCCCTCGAAGATCATGAACTTCTCGTTTTTGGCATCAGTTTCATCAGGAACAACGTTTCCGTCTTGAACCTCACAATCCTTCAGCACGGTTTCCCGGCCGATCTTACTGCGGCGTCCAACAATGGTACCGGTTAGTTGACAACGTTCGCCAACAACCGCACCATCCATAATCAAACAACGAGTCAATCGTGCACCGCTAGCGATATGGCAATTAGCACCGATGACGGTCTCCTTGATCACACACTTCTCCTCAACCGTCGAGTTATTGTCCACTAGGCAGTCGTTCCGTGTCACAGTACAACGCTGCGCGATGCTAGCTGTATTTGCCACTTTAGAGGCGTGTGCGAATGCCGACGAAGCAACTCGGCCAACCTCTTCGATGGACTCTAGCTTAGCAAGACGGAGGGAGGTAGAGAGAAGAACGGCGGATGAATCGACCCGTCTAACGAATGGCGCTGTGCCCTTTTGGACGTAAGCCAACATCGGTGGTAGACTTGACTTGGGACCCTTGGCAGTTTGCGAGGTGGGAGCCTTGACACGAGACGCGAATTGAGGGTCTGATGCGGCTGTGCTAAATTTGGCTGCCGTAGATTTGGTAGTGCTCATGTTCTGAAGATCAATCTCCTCCTCCAGGGATTCACCATCGAGGGATTCGCCGTCGTGGCTTTCACTCTCACCTAGAGTGAGGCCGTGGCTCTGGCGACGGCTTTTCTGCTGGAAAATTTCGTTGATCTTCAGCTTGTCGCTGAGGCCCTGCTGCCATTCCGATTTGGCCCACCATCCAACCAAGTCTTCACCAACTGATTGGAATTGCTCATTCAAACGAGCCATGTCCTTGACCCAGTAAGGTAGGACGTAGATATGCGCATCACGGTATGTCGTCAACAACTTCACTTGCGCATGCGTATCCACCAGGGAGTGGCGCACAAGGAAGCCCTTGTCATTTTCCAACTTCTCTTTCAATGTGGCCATGGGCATAGAAAGGACTAGCTTGGAGAGCGAGGAACGAAGTGCGCCATGAGAGACGGTAGGAGCTTCGCTTTGCTCAAGTGGTGCAACTGCCAAAAAGTCCGTAGCCTCGCCCTTGACACTCTCCTCCCGACCCTGTGTCTGATAGTACATGCTGAGTCCATTCCGACGATTTTTCTCGCCGCCAGACACCATCCATGCTTCAAGCAGAGATTCGCCGGGTATTTCGCAAACTAGATCACAGGGCAAGAGAAGGAAGTCGGACTTGATGCAAGTCTGCACCTCCGGCAGACGGAGAAGCTCTGCTGTGCCAGTCGTCATCTCGAGTTCCGCCGGTGCGATGACTGAGGGCGAAGGAAGTGAAGTAAGATGTGGGTTCTGTCGTAGAGCGGCCTGGAGGGGAGCGAGCGAAGAGGGAGGAGTGACCAAAGTGACATCTAGAATAGTTAATCTTCCATCCGATGATTCGCGATAGAGCACATGGCGTCATGGCATGCCCCGCATGCTATTCCGACGGTGGGAATGCGCTTACCAGTAATGCCCATCCTTTTCGACCAGTCCAAGGCGTACCAGAGCATTGGACGGTTGGCCACGGGAATAAGGCATTTTGGGTATTCCTCGGGGTTTGAAGTGAATGTGTTGAGTGATACACCAGGGCCACACTTGCTTGCTTGTTAGCTTTTATTTCAGACATATATCGATGTTGGTTCCTCACAAGAATTAGGGCCTGCAGGCCCGTCGGGGGCACCGGTACTGAGTGAGGCATAATCTGAACTAACAATGCGCTTGCGAGTTCTCCCACCTAGTCATATATTTCTCTAAAACCGATAAGCCCTGCTTCGGAGGAGTCAGAAAAACCACTTACATAATCACGGAAGCAGATGGCACGTGATACCGACCCGCCTCCAGATTTAGCAAGACGCAAACAGGACAAACACAAGTAAACACCCGCGGTAATCACCAGCCACATGTTTCTGGTATCCGAGGAGAGACGTCTGCCTCCTTTCCCTCGTTCCCCTTTTCCCAACCTCTTATTTTGCAAATCGGCGTGTGGGATGCAACCTGCGAGTCATTGCGACCGCGATTAATAGCCGTTAAATGTGCCTCTAATTGAATACCCGCGATCGCAATGTCTTTCCCTCAAGACCCTCGGCGCCGTCGCGGCGGAGCCGGTACTGGCTTCAGCTCAACCGGTGGGCGAACCGCCATTGGATACTGGCTCCCCTTGGCCTTAACTGCTGGAATTGCAACTATCAGCATTGCAGCTTGGATTTGGAGTGAACGAAATGACGACGAAGACGAAGACGACCGCCCCCACGGAGATGGCCGCCCTTACCCGCCTCCTGTTGGACCTGGGAGTGACTATCCTCCACCTTCCTATGCTACCGGAGATTATGCCCGAAGCACAGGAGCGGAAGTCCTGCCTGCAGATGCTTCTTATGATCATGGTATGGTGGCTCGCATGCAAGGTGCCTTGCGCCGCACGCCGAGCCCTCAACAGATCTTCGATGGCGCCAGCAAAAGGGTTGTGGCTGGCGTCACTGCTGCAGGGGCCTTTGTCGGTGGCGCTCTCACCTCAATTCGGGAGGATAACAAAGGCGAGGGCGACTACGAGGACCACTCTAGATGGTCGGAGGAGGCTCAAACTAGAGCCCACGAGAGAAGCCAACAACCCGCTGTTGCGCCGACTATGAGTGATGGATTGCCGAGTCGTCCAGCAAAGACCGTCAACACTAACAAGAAGACCGTTGTAATTGTTGTTTCCTCGGTTTCATCAGCTGACTCGGACGAATTCTCTTCTGAACACGCGGTAAGAACTGCTCGCCCCTGATACACATTGTAGGCTTTTCTGACAATCGCAGTCGATTCTATCCCATCTCCCTGAACATGTCGATGTGGAAAACTCAAAGATCTTTGTGCTGATCTATGCTCCGGATTTGAAACACGCCATCAGAAAGGGTGGCTCACCTCCCACCACACCCTCTATGGCATCGTCTTATTCGAACATTGGCACCGAAGAAGGAGCTTCTGTCGGAGAATTAGCCTCTGGAGTCTTGACCCCGGTCGAGCCCCGCCAGGACGATGAACTGGAGGGCACGTCTCCCTTCTTCAAAACGTTATACACACAGGCACAAGCGCTTGTTGAGAAGGACAGCATGATCATGCCTTTCAGCACGCCCGGTGGCTATGTGCACCTCGCTCGCCACCTATTCCCAGACCTTGTCTATGTCCAAGAGTCCCTGACTGGAGATGTAGGTGAACCCGTCTCTCAGCTCACTCGTTGGATTCGCCAGGTTATCGTCGTGGTCGGAGACGAGGGTGGCCGTGGTGGGCTCATCGACAGTGATGACGAGTCAGCCCTTGGCGAAAAGGGAGAGAAGTGGTGGCAAAAGGAGGGTGTCACAGGTCTCGGCAAGAGCGTTGATGTGGTTGACGTTGTTCGAGTTGGAGATGACTGGCGACGACGAGTGCGTGGTCTGGACTAGGTCATCAGATCACGTTGTGGCCCCATGATTTTGATGTTGATATTTGTTTGTTTGTCTATACCTGTGTTTTTAAACCCCCTTATGACTGATTGACCTTATTCCCCTGTTTTTCCAATTTTCTTGCTTTGGCTTAATATGATTCAACTTTCATCTTTGACAGAATAATGGATGCTTCTTTTGCCCTAAAGTTGCAACTATCTACAGCATTATTAACTCTCAGAATTAGCTCACTTAGCTCTGACATGTATGAAGTTATGGGCATTACCTATATTATCTAGACAGTAGTATATAAAAGCTATTCAAGCATTGATTCACCTATGTATCAAAGAGTCTCGTATCTTGTTGCTGCATCGATTAAAACTAGTCCTAATAAGGAAGGGGTCATGTGACCAACTTCACGTTGACCCACGGCTTGGCATCATCAGTTGACCTACCTCTGCAAGACCTACCCAGCGGCTTTACCGATTCACCCCTTCCCAGCAGCATTATTGGACGGGTGCTTTCTTTCTTTCATTCTTTTAATCCCACTCGGTCAATACACGCCGATTTTTTGCATTGATTCCAGCTGTGCTGGGGACCGGTGCCGCCCTGCCTATCCCCACATGTCTCGCGCATCGGCCATCTCATTCATTTCCCGAGCACGGCTTTCATTCAACATCATCAAACAGACATTCCGATAAGTCGCATTCTTACCTCACTGGTCACGCGGAGGTTGCGCAACCGGCGCAGACATGATGGCGACCGCAATATCCAAGCCGGCCTCTCATTCCCAGAAGATGAAGCGGCCGCCCCCGCCTTTCGGCCAGGCCGCGGTCAACGGAGTCAAGGGCCAGCACCTCTCGTCTTCGCCCACCTCCGCCGCAAAACGTTTGCCCACGGGCGCCCCCATCAACGCAAGTTCCAATTTCACAAACGGCGTGGCCCATGTGGCGAGTTCCACGACTAAAGGCCCCCTTAATCGGACTAGGAATCAGTCGCAAAGGCCCATGGATCAGCCCTCACGCTCTGGCCGGCCAGTAACCAGAACCGCCGTTGCAGATAACACACACCGAGTTGGGAAAAGGGCACCAGAACCATATGGTAATGAGTTCCGTAACAGTCGCAATGTCAATGCGCGATCACTGACTTTCTTGACATAGTGAAAACTACATCCTACATCCTTAAGAAATATTCGAAAAGCCCCCCATCCCTAATTGTGCATTTACATCCTACACATTTCCGATTTGAGCAGCAAGACGGTAGCTTCCCTTACAACTCCGAGATGAAGGTTATCATCGAGCACATTCGCGCTGGGACTGTTCCACATGATCTGATTGAGGAACTTCTGCGAGGTGGTGTGCAGTTCTATGAAGGTACGTATCAGCTTTAACAGCTAGTCTAATTACCTACTAACATTGTTAGGTTGCCTCATCGTCCGTGTCATCGATCACAAATCTGCTTCCGCGCAAGCAAGAAAAGTTTCCACAACCTCATCCAACGAGAACAACACACCGTTCTCCCTACACAATTACAACGAACACATTACTCCGTCCGCTTTTGTTCCATACCCAAAACAAAACCAGCTCACCTCGGCCACCCAAGGCACCAAGGCCGATGGGGCCTCGGCTGCTAGTCAGCAGACAGATGGTTCGGCCATTGGTGAGCAGGTGGACGGCAAAAGCAGCAACACAGGTCAGAAAAATTCCCCTGTGAAGCCTCGCGTATTCACTACAGTACTCCATCCCACTGCCCGCACTTTGCAGGCAGAGTTGACACTGCTGGTCACCACCCCTGATCCGAGAGCCAACAAAACACCACCAGCTCAATCAAGCTCCTCTGGTTCTTCAGCCACCCCTGGAAGCAGTCATCCAGACCGCGGGCACGTCGCAAAGAGACAGAAAATGCTGGTTGAGCCTGAAGATCTTTTGGAATTCGAATCTAAAATGACACAGGCATTGGCGCCTCCTCTCTTCTTGGAACCTGTGCATAGTTTCGAGGCTGCCCAAGAGTTGCTTAGGCACCTGGCAAGCCCACTGCATTGCGACCCGCCACCCTTGCCCAAGCGCCGAAAGAGAACCGTTGCCGAACTTGCTGCTGACGAAGCCTTGGCGGCCGAAGAGGAGAGATTTATGCTTATCATGGACGAACGTCTGGAGCCCACGGCTTCTGGTCCGGGTGGTGCTGCGAAGGCTGCTGCCGTGGATGATGCGGGTGGTGTGGCGCCATTTGAACCCCGATTCTCCCGCTTCAAGACACTTGAAACGATTCGCATGCAACATGAGGAGAAGGCTAAACGTGAACATGAAATGAAGCTCAAGCAGGAGTTGGCCAAGAGACAACAGCAGGAGCAAGAGAGAGAGCGGCGTCGTGCAATTGAGCAGCGACAGGCCGAGGAACACGCGAAAGAGGAATCTCGAAGACAACAACTTGCCGCGCAGCAAGCGCAGGCTCAACTCGCTGCACAACAGCAGAATCGTCATATTATGGCTCAGCCGAATGGCGTCAGCCAAGGCCAGCAGTCTTCGCCTGTTGTACGTAACCAGACCCCACATACCACTTCATCACCACTGGTTGGTAACATTATGCCGCAGGCGGTTCCGATGACAATGACCGCATCTGGATCCGGCAGTCCGCCCCGACCTCCCTCTGCTTTGCAGCATGCTCATCCGAATGTTATGAGCCACCCGATGGCACCTTCCAGAAGTCAACAAGGACCAAGCCGACATGGTACTCCACAGATGACTCAGGGCACACCGGCTATGTCGCATGCCACGCCAATCATGCGTAATGTCACGCCTACTCAGCGGATGGGTCATGGCAGTCCAACCCACTCGATGGGCCAGACTCCGGTGATGAATCAGGGCATGGCACCTACGCCGCAAATGAATGGGGGCATGCCTTTCACACCACAACAGCAGATGATGTTACAACAACACCGACAGCAAGCGCTTCTTCAAGCGCAACAACAAGGACATATGCAGCACAATCAGTTCACGCCGCAGCAGCTAGCCCAACTACAAGCTAATGCCCACGCTCAACAAAATATACAATCTCATCAACACCAAATGCTACAGCAGCAGCAGCAGCAACAACAAAACCATCAGGGTGTTCCCAAACTTAGTCAACAAGGCCAGCAAGCATACCAGGCTCAGCTCATGCGTGCTCAGTATGCGCAAATGCAAATAGTCAAGCAGCAACAGCAAGGGCAGCACCCACCGATGCAGGGCCAGCAAGGCCAGCCACATCAAGGCAATCCGCAGTTAACACCCCAACAGCAGCAAATGCTGTTGGCAGCTACACAGGCGAATGGTGGCCAAATGGGTCAAAATGGACAGCCCATGAACCAGGCACAAAGATACACCCAGCTCTACCAACAACGACTGCTTCGCATGCGGCATGATATGTCAGCACGGTACATGTCTCAGTACGGCCCGCCAAACCAGTACCCTTCCAATATTGCGCAACAGTATGGCCCTGGTCTGGAAAAGACAGCCAAAGCGTGGGTCTCCGAGGTTATGCGACGTGAGCGGGATGGCGGACAGCAACAGCAGCAACAGCGGGCTGCGTTGCAAGCCCAGCAAATGCAAGCGCAGGGCTCGATGCACAGTATGGGTGGCCTGAACAACTGAGGGTAGTTTGTCCGCTAGCACTGATGTAAAGTGGCTACATACGAGATTGATGATACCCTGCGAGGACGGAAGCTATTCCACATTTACAATTTCACCAGTGTAAATCTGGCCCCAGGTGGATTTATTATGAGCATCTACTCAATGGCAGTGGGACATTGGTTAGCAACTCTTACTGTCACTGGCTTTGGCTTTTTCCTCGTTCTTTTTTTTCTTTTTTTGTTATTTTTTTTCTGAAATCCCGGGATTTTGTACAGGGACTAGGCATCGTGGAGATTGGGGAGGACGGCGTTATTTTGCCACGGGGGGTTTCTTTCTTCTTTCTGCTTTTCTTTTTTTTTTTTTTTTTCGATTGTACTATTTGGGCGCGGTGGGAACCCTGGGATTTATCAGACTCGATACCATTCTGTACAGGAGTTATTTGATATCAGTGTGGTTGGATTGAAAGCATTGTGGAAATACCTCGAATTTGATAACACAAAATGCAAAAACTGGATTCTGTTATTCTAGACTGTAGGCTCTTGTATATTTGGAGAGTCTGTACTAGATCTTACATATTCACTCGTAGACCTTTGACGGATTCTAGCAATGGTCTAAGCACATCCAAACCACATGTCGAGCATCATAATATCAAAGAGTTCATCGCAAATTCGTAAAGTATCAAGACGGTGTACAATCAAAAGGGATAAATCTCATTCCATAAATATAATTAAGTCTACGAATACGGGATGTTCCAGATCTTCAATGGATGTTTGACACCTCGGGCGAACCGTAGGACAAAAATCTAGTACTCACTGGCGAGGGAAATAGTTAAATCTCCATTTCGATATAAGCACTTCTTCGGCGCGACCGCGGCCATGAAAGGGCCGGATCGCAATTTGACATCCGTGCTATCAGCTGCAAAGCTGTATGAGGAAAAAGGGAAAGGGAAACATGGTAATGTAAGTATTCAATTGGATAAGGTATCAAGCTATTAAAAGGGGGATATCAAAAGACACCGTCAGTATGTATCAAAAGAAGACCGGTGGCCATCGTGTCCTGAGACTGTATTCTCTGGTCAATCATTACTCAGACTGTTGAGCTTGATATTTTGAAACATTCATGGAGAAGTTCATGTCAATAGAAATGGTGATCATCATAGTAAGGAGAGACCAGAGTTGTCTCGCAAGATGGAGAGGGTGTATAGATGTAAGGTTGAAGTCAATTATCAAAGGAAGACATTAATCCCTTGAGCAATGTGTTTTCAAAGCCTGCTGGTGTGTCGTTGAGTGGTAGACAAAAGATGTCTGATTTAATATGAAAGAGCTACGGAAAATTGATGCGCTGAGTTTTTATATCGTGTGATTACATAATGATGTGTCAGCACTGCCCAGACCTGGTCCACCTGGGCACGGCGGGTGGGTGACTAATCTAGTTCCCGATCGGGAAAGGTATCAACAATCGAGCACACATTTGAAGGATTGCTTCATGTAGGATTTCGGTCTATAAATTCTGCAAGTGATATTGCGTGATAAGGCGAACTAGTAGATATAGTTAGTTGCAATAAAGGAAGGTCGCGGCCCAGGTCTAGACTTTAACCTACCGGACCGTTGTTGGTCGGATGACTCCCGGCCTGCAAAGTCCATTCAAAGAATGGCAAGGCCACCATTAATATGTATGGTAAAGGTAGGCGAGATAAAACGATTTGATCAAACAGGATTAAAGCAAGGCGGGGGGATCAGGCACCAATGAAAATATATCGGCTACTAAGACAGCCCCAATTCAAAACCCGAAGCTAGGGATGAAGATCGGCGTACATCACCCGAGGACCAGGTAAGCCGAACGAATAAAAGCAGCTAGAGATCTTACTTTTACAGAGTAATATGGGGTAAAATTGGGGTTACATCGCATCATCGCATAATCACATACAAAACAAAGCATCGCCCTGGTAATAATTTATACTTAAACACCGCAATCTGGGAATCTGGAACCAACTTCATTGACGCTCTAATATCACATTCCAATGCATGTACGGAGTAGCTTCGGCACAACGGTGTAGTGTGTAGTGTAGATCTGTATAGCGTGTATGCGAAGCCAATCGAAAAGGGTTCCTCGCATATAAGCGCCAAGCTAGATTGACATTGCATTAACATAGGTACGATTTACTCGGATGGAAAAGTTGTACTTATGTCGAGGTATGCTCTAAACCCAGTCTAATGGCTCACCCACTTCCTCTCCATCATTCCCACGCGCACAGACATACCGATGCGGTGTGTTGATGGTAGTCATCCAAGTGGTCGGGAGGATTTCTCCCCGGAATGTGAGAACAGGTACATTAATAGGTATAAAAAAAAGGGAAGAGAGTTTGTGATTGCTGCAGTGAGATCTCTGAGTAGTAAATCTAATACGAAGCAGAAACAGTTCACCGATTATTTGCACAATCTAGAAAAACGAATACGTACGAGGAAAGCAAAAAACAGCTTGCACATGACCCAATGACCTATTAGGGTTGTGGATCTCCAGGCATTATCCCCATAGGTAGTACTGTGCATAACAAAAGATAAAAATCAAGGAATGGAAACCAATAGAGTGAAAATGGCGCTTGGATATCATTCCCGCATATCACACCATTGGGAAGCCTGGGGTCTCATTCCCAATTTGTACGGCGTGGCATATACATAGCGCGGTGTAACAGTATAAGTACATGCAGGGCATGGGCGTCGGGCTAATTTAACGTCGTGCCTAATAATCACCTCACCGCACAACCAAACATCGGTGTAGCAGTGGACTTGGGTATTTGGAATGAGGATTTGGAATCTAGAATCAAGGTTTTGGAGGGCTGGGGAATACAGTTTTGAATTAGTGGGATAGTATATCGGAAAATAAGTGAGGTCAGTATGGATGTGCTAGAAAGTAAATAATGTATATGCCGGTAGTGGATGTGCAAGACAAAAAAAGGGCTACCAAGACCCTGCGTTGGAGTTTGAAGAACGGGAAAGTATTCCATGCACGACGATCATTAGAAAAAGCAAATATAGGCTTCATCTTTCCGGAGGATGAGGGATGTTTGTCATAGGATGTCACTGTTGAGTAAAGCCCTAATGCCCGCAGACTTGGGAATGAGGAATGGACGCATGAATACCAGAGTCCAGGCACGTAGGAACGCGGCTCTGGATCGTGGGATCCTTGGTCATGCAGTATAATGTAGCATGGATTCTCTTTGCTTTTTCGCATTCCCTTTTTACTTTTTTTGCTATGCTATACTTAGAACTATGGGATTTTTCTAAGGTTTAGGGTTTCACAGAGAACGGGTGAGTTGGGTTCCACATGGCCATCTGATACGTGCTATGTTGATGTCGAAAGTGGGGGAGTACTCGTCGTGGTTTGCAGTAGTGCGTACAGAGTATTCGGGACACTGTGTTCCACATAAATTATCATGTCCGTAGCCGCGGTGAAGATATGATGACATGGCGTTTCTGAAACTGGGTGTTAAGGCCCCGTTGGGAATGAAGAGTCCCGACGAGTAGCATGTACAGGTTTATCATGCTTATGGCTGCACCAGGCTCAATTTGTTCGATCCACTCGATTGAGCAGATAGATCGGTTTGGAGAGATCCAGGAACTAGGGATCTAGAGCCCCGAATCTTGTGATATGTAACATTTTGGGCGCATGTCTGAACTCCCAGGTCAGTAACCGAGAGGCGAAGTTGGATTCTAAAGCAGAAATTTAGCCGATCTTGAAGGATTCAAAGTACTTAATAAGAATGGTACTACTAGTATACAGGACCAACTGGGGCAATAGCAATGCAGTGCAACAATGTAGATCTCGATTTTTTCTGTATATTATACCGATGTGCGATAATGGGTGGTAGTACAAGCGAAAAAAAAATAAAAAATAAAAAAAAATAAAAAAAAATAAAACAACAACACGTTGTAGCAGATTGTACACGATCGCCAAACCCCTGAGGGTTGTCCTCCCAAATGATTATCCCCAGTTGGCGATCTCCCCAAAACCAGACAGGAAAAAACATATGCAACTCCAGATAAATTCCATGTTCAGAAATACCTCCCAGCCTTTGGCACCAAACAAATTATGCAATAGAAAGGAAATAAAATAAATCAAAAAGTCTCCTATCAGGAGACATGTACAACGCCAGGACAACCAGACATCTGGCCCATGTCTCTGCCATTTCAGATCCTCCAGAGACGGGGTATCAATAAGACCCAATGAGGGCCACGTTTTTGCTTTGTGTTTCTATGACTCCATAATTTTCTTTTTGGAAAGACTCGCATGGAATGTTTTTTTGTTGAATTTTTTTCGTTTTCGATTTTTGGTTTTGCTTTTTGAGGTCGTGCGACTAGTCATCCCACCCATCAACGCTCAGCTCCCCACAGTCAGGCATGCTATCTTCAAGCTTACTGCCGTAGATAGGCCGACCATCGGGGGTAAGCTGGCCGCGGAAATCGGGATCGAAATCTTGACTGGTCTCATCGAGGGTTGCGACGTAGCGGTTGCGACCGCCCCGCTTGCTGTGGGTCTTGGTATAGTGGGCATTCAGGTTGTCACTGCGAGAGAACGCACGGTGGCAACCAGGGACCCAACAGACATGGGGCTTCTCCTTGGAGTGGCTCTTCATGTGTCGCTTGAGGTGCTCCTGGCGCTTGAAACGCCCCTTGCAGCCAGGCTCCTTGCACTTGAATTGAACTTGCTTAATGATTGATGGCAAGTTCTCGAGGCTCAGGTTAGAGCGGAGGAGCTGTTTCTTGGAAGATTTGCGCGAGGGTTGGCGGTGACGTTGAATCAGGCCTTCGCGGTAGACAGGAGAAAGTTGGAATTCTTCCTGGTAATCATTGTGTCCGGACATTCGACTCATTGGAGTATCTGAGCCCGAGGGAGTGCCCATGGAAACAGATCGGTGGGGTGTCGAAGGAGTGTGGGACTTGAAAGTTGGAATGTTGGTCGGAAAGTCGGAATAAGAGGAAGAAGGAGGGGTAACGGGTCCAGAAGGGAAGGGCTGGACCTGA